ATTTACGAAGGTCCATAAGTATGAGTCCACCTTTGGGATGTTCTGGACAAATTCGTTTAGCCATAATAATTTTTCCTTGCCCTCMTCCATGGATGTTAAGATGCTTGAATATATGCACTCATTGCAAAGAGTTGGCATCTTTGAAAAGTCCATTGTGATATTTTTCAGTGATCACGGCATGCGGTTTGGTCCACTGCGTAACCTGCATAGTGGGTTTCTGGAGGAGCGTATGCCAATATTTTATATATGGCTTCCGAATTGGTTTAGGGCAAAATATCCAGAGTTTGTGCATAGCTTGCAGCTGAATAGAAATCGTTTGACTTCTCCGTACGACATTCACGCCACATTGAAGCACATTTTGCAGCTGGAGACACCGCTGGCGGACTTGCCACGACCCGAAGCATGCCYCACTTGCCATAGCATCTTCTACGAAGTAGCTGAATCGAGAGATTGYTCAGATGCGGGGATTGAGGACCATTGGTGCACCTGCCATGCGTTATATAATGCTTCAGACAATGTGATAAATAAAATCGAAATTTCTTATCAACTTATTTCTGCTACAAATGCCTATCTGCACGCCAACAACTTGACGGATATTTGTCAAACCCTGAAGCTTTCATATATTGAGTCGGTGAAAAGGAAAACATCTGTGGAGCCAATGGAATTTGAGTCTTACCTGGTCAGGTATGAGGCCAAACCTGAGAATGCTGTCTTTGAGGCTTCAGCGAACTGGGACAACAAGACGAAATTGATCTCAGTAAACGTGCCTGACATAAGTCGATTGGACGCCTACAGTGAACTATCCAAGTGCGTAGACGATAGTATAGCTAAAAAGTTTTGCATTTGCTTCGACTTGCCAGTGCCTAAATGATCGAGAAATATATATTTAACACAAACAATTTATAATTTTATTGAATTTAGTACACTTATTGGTGGCAGGAAAAAAAATTTGAACTATTATTGATTATATTGCTAACCATGTTTGATTTTTGCAAATTATAGCGGATAGTATAAATAAATGATCTGTATTAAAAAATGTATATGTATAGATAGCATACGGTAAACTGCGGAAGAACTGATTGTTTCGATTTACTCATCGAGGCTTAACATTGAAATATTTCTATTTCCCTAAGTGTTTAGATTAATATTCAAAATGTAATGTATTCTTCTGCACTGATAACGCCGTATCAGAGCTTATGGGAGTCAATAATGAAAGAAGCTTCATATCGCTTTTATAAATTTTCAATGCGTTCGTTTCGATCGTTAGGATTGAAATACCACCACAATCAGTTGGATATGAGGCACCACTCAGAACACAGCACAGCGAACCGCAATTGTGAAATGTGCTTAATATGTATTGATACCTATGGCAAACAGTAAATATAGGTTAATTAGGCCGCAAGGTCCAGAGCTAAATGAACCCTCGAGTTTCCGATTAATTCTAAAGCTCCTTCTGGGTTGTTCCTTAATTGTTCTGATTATACTATATTACCAAAGATATTTCGTGGAGACTGGTATATATGTGGACACTACAATGACATTAGCTACAATAACTACAACAAATATAACAAATACTACGAGTTCTACACAGATAACAAAAAAATTGTTAAATTTAACGCAAGGTAAAGGTGAAACTGAAAAGTATTTCATAAATTCAAATTCATTGTATATGAACAGAGCCCGCCATGAGAAACTTCTTTGTGGACACCTCAAAGTGTCGGATGCCAGCCCCTGATCCCTTTACGCCTGATGTTTTAATGATATACAGAGAAGTACCATACAAGCAGTGCGAGTCCGGTAAGGATCTCATCAAGGTGAATTTTAAGGACGGCATCTACAGTCTGCATATGAGCGAGGCGAATTTAACGTGTTGTTATAAACAGATCCTGCGCTCCGGAGTTGGCGCTAATGCAGATATGGAGTACAAGTAAGTACAGTTCAGTAGATTATAATTTATAATAATTAAANATATGGCTTCCGAATTGGTTTAGGGCAAAATATCCAGAGTTTGTGCATAGCTTGCAGCTGAATAGAAATCGTTTGACTTCTCCGTACGACATTCACGCCACATTGAAGCACATTTTGCAGCTGGAGACACCGCTGGCGGACTTGCCACGACCCGAAGCATGCCCCACTTGCCATAGCATCTTCTACGAAGTAGCTGAATCGAGAGATTGCTCAGATGCGGGGATTGAGGACCATTGGTGCACCTGCCACACGTTAAAAAATAGTTCACGTAGCAAGATTCACATCAAGGAAATTGCACAGCAGCTTATTGCTGCCACCAATGCCTATCTGCAGGCCAATAACTTGACGGATATTTGCCAGACCCTAAAGCTTTCAAATATAGAGTCGGTGCAGAGAAAAATATCTGTGCAACCAAAGGAACTTGAGTCTTACCTGGTCAGGTATGAAGCAAAGCCAGAGAATGCTCTCTTTGAAGCATCGACGGACTGGGACAAAAAGACGCAGCTAATTTCAGTAAACGTATCTGACATAAGTCGATTGGACGCCTACAGTGAACTATCCAAGTGCGTAGACGATAGTATAGCTAAAAAGTTTTGCATATGTTTCGATTTGCCAGAGCCCAAACGATAAAGAAATATTTTTCTATCTATTTATTAAGTAAAATAATTTTGTTTTCTTTAAATTAAATTTTTATGTTTTATATGTTGTTGCAATTGTTGTTAATAAGCATATAAATATGAGGCCAACGGAACATTCCCTTCATGCTTCATTAGCCAATAATGACGATTTAGATTTAATGAATTTATTAAAAATATTTGTTTGTTTTTCATTCAATTTTATAATAAAAGCAGATAACTTTTGTTATCGTTCGCGATATGAAGAGGGTATATTAGTTTTTTTTGTAGTTTCCGTTTTATTTCCGGTGTTTTTTGAAAATCGGACCTAATTGTGTTGGTATTTCTGGGTTTGTGTTGGCATTTCATCTCATCTCTTTTTTCGTGCATTCGTTATGCTCCCGACTGGACCGTTGTTTTTTTTTTTTTTTTATTTTTTTTTTATTTTAAATTTTCAAAAAGCGTGTAGGCAATATGTAATAGTATAGGTTGAAGTTAACGTAGTTAAAAAAGAAAAATGATAAGACGTATAGCCCGGTTCAGCATAACCACAATACATTATCAGTTGGATATGAGGCACCGCACAGAACCAATATATTAAGCACGAGTGGATCGCTAATTCAATAACAAACGATGGACTCCCAAATGGCCAAAAAACTTCTTTTGAGTTGCTTTTTAATTCTTTTGATTGTTTTGTATAATGAGCGGTACTTCACTCAAACTAGAAGCACAACAATGGCAAAGATGTCCAATAAGATGACAATAAAATCGTTAACTTCAGCGCAAGGTAATGTGAGTCCAAATGGAGTCCAATTCAACAGATGCCAATACCTTGAATTTTAACAGATTCCAATGTAATCAACTTCTTTGTGAACACCTCAAAGTGTCGGATGCCAGCCCCTGACCCCTTTATGCCTGAGGCTCTCATGATATACAGGAAAGTGCCATATGAGCAGTGCGAGCCTGGTATCGATCTCATCAAGGTGAATTTTAAGGACGGCATCTACAGTCTGCATATGAACGAAGCGAATTTAACGTGTTGCTATAAACAGATCCTGCGCTCCGGAGTTGGCGCCAATGCGGATATGGCGTACAAGTAAATATAGTGACTGCGTATAACTAAAAATATGCATTTGATTTAACATTATAATTTAAAGCTTGCTGCCATGTAGTAATTTTCATCAAGATTTTGATGTTCCACGTCATGTAGATGCCATCATCACCGAGTGCCGTCGACTAATCGATAAAAAGCTGTTGCAACAAGATGCTTTCAGCTTTGTGCAACCAGCTAAACRTGCAGACAATCTAACAGCTATGAATGATTCAAGCTCAGGTGAATCGACTAAGGGGAGACCAAGTGTTCTACTGTGGGGCATTGATTCATTGTCGAGGATGAACTTCCAGCGGACTATGCCGTTGATGTTCAAGTATCTCAAAGAAGAGAATTGGTTCGAGCTGCAGGGCTATAACAAGGTAGGTGTCCATGCAGTATACATAACTTTGAATTTATGAGATCTTTTCAGATGGCAGATAACACATTTCCCAATTTAATGGCGCTTCTGACTGGCTTGAACAGCTCAGGCTCCATTTCCGTCTGTCAGCCAATGAATGTGGGCGGCCTGGATGCTTGCCCAATGCTCTGGAAAGAATACAAAAGTAAGGGCTATATCACTGCCTATGGGGAGGACTGGAGTAAATATTCTACGTTTGACTATATGTTTAAGGGTTTTAAAGATCCTCCGACGGACTACTATGCACGTCCCTTAATCTTGGCCGTTGAGAAAGAGCTAAAGAAGAAATACGACACGGCTTTACCATACTGTGTGGGGCGTCGTCATTTTGCGGAGTACATTTATGATTTTGCCTTACAGTTTACGGAATTTTACAAAAATCGGTCCACATTTGGCATGTTCTGGACAAACACATTTAGTCATAATAATTTTGCCTTGCCCTCTTCCATGGATGCCAAAATCATTGAATACATGCGCTCATTGCAAGGAAGTGGTGCATTTGACGAGTCCATTATTTTGTTCTTTAGCGATCATGGTATGCGTTTTGGTAAGCTGCGCGGATTGGAGAGTGGATTTCTGGAGGAACGGATGCCCATTATGTATATTTGGCTGCCGCATTGGCTAAGACAAAAATATCCAGAGTTTGTGCATAATTTACAGCTAAATAGGAATCGTTTAACCTCACCATACGATATCTATGCCACTTTGAAGCATATTCTAGAGCTGGAAACACCGCTGGCAGTTTTGCCACGACCTGAAGGTTGTCCCAACTGTCATAGTCTGTTCTATGAGCTAGATGAATCAAGAGATTGCTCAGGTGCTGGCATTGATGAGCATTGGTGTACTTGTGTGGAGTTCGAAAATGTTCCGAAAACTAATGCAAAAGCTAAATTAATTGCCCAACAGTTGGTAGAAGCAACGAATAATTACTTGGCAGCTAAGAAGTTAGTTGGTATTTGTCATATCCAGAGACTAAGTAATATTGAGTCCGTGCAAAAGAAAATTTTGACGCACTCAAGGCAATCCAACTCTTACCTGGTCCGATATGAAACGGAACCAGCAAAGGCACTCTTTGAAGCAACGGTCCAGTGGTACGACATAAGCCAGAATATCACTATTTCTGTGCCCAGCATCAGCCGAATGACGTCTTACAATGAACACTCCAAGTGTATAAATGACAAAGTGGCCAAAAAGTTCTGCATCTGTGCGAACCAAGGCAGTTGACTCAATCAATTCCGGCTGCCGAAGTGGTTGGAGTACCGCATAACCACAGACACAAATGTAATTGCCCTAGAAAAGATGCATCTGCATTCCTTCGTGTACTCGAAATCACTATATGTAGCAGCAACTCAATTTTGCGAGCATTGTTGCCAATGCCTATCGCCAGTTCCGATCTCACCCCAGAATCTATCAGGCAAATTAGTTTACAATTATATGACAATTGCAAGAGACAATTGCGGCCATATCAGCGATCGGAGTACAGCTGTTTCATCAATTGTACTGTACGAATGGAGAAGTTTGTTTTAGTAATAATCTTAACAATAAAAAAGAAAAAATGAAATTATTTACTATGTATCTTATCTATTGGTCAATAGCCTGGGCGCAAATCACTCAAGTAGTCGACGGGTGAAAGAGCTTGTTAAAGATTAGTTAATTCTTTTAAATTAAACAAATAAACATATTAGTTGCTTAGCCTATTTTAATAGATTTCATATAAATGATATATAAATAGAATTCAACAGAAAATGAGTTTTCTGCTTAGCAAACATATGCCTGCAAATTCAATTGTAACTGATACTTTGTGCCGAGTCTGTCGGCAGAACTCGTTATTTTGAAAACAAAATTACGAATCAATCAAAACATATTAAAATTTGGGACTCAACTCGTATTCCCATCGAAAATGGCGCAGCAGATGAGTAGATTAGGGCGAGGGGTGGCCAGGCAGGCCATGCACCACCCCGAAAACCACCAGCGACAACCACAACACAAAACGCAAACATTAAACAGCAGCAGCAGCAGCAATATTTGTTGATACAGATACGGATATGTATAAGCTACAGAGAGAAGGCCATTCAAATCACTCAAGTATCTCTGTCTGTATCTGTATCTTATGCTGGGCGGGCTTCCGAGGGCCGGTTCCGTGTGTCAACTTCAATTACTTGCGCTGCCTAATCACGGTCCTATAAGGGTAATAACAATGCACAGCCTACCTGGGCAGGGCCCAGAGGCAGGGCAACGCCTTTTAAACGCCTTATTGCCCGCAAATGAGACTCGAGTACCTCAATGGAATGTGAGACAAGGATAGCGATATGGTATGTGGCTGTGGTGCCATTGCGGTGCACAAAATGGTGGCTGTTCCTGTGTCGACAGCGGCCTTAAATAGCCAAGGATGCGCAGAGCACTGAACAGTAGCAATTCAGCACTGGCACACTCGAGGATCATTGCACAGAATGAGTGACTTCAGCATCGACTACATACTGAACCGCGCCGGTGATAGATACGTCGGCACCAATGCATCATTAGGAATTCTGCAGCGGCTCAGATACCATCCCACATATCATCCATATGCGCAGCCTGCACTCAAGGAACAGTTGCCATCAACAGCAGCCGCGTCCATGGATGACGGACCAATGCCCATGTACGATTGGCTTCAGTACACACGTTACCATCCGCCCAAGCTGCCACGCGCGTTGCGTCAGGGACCCGCAAAGCGCACACCAGGACGTCTGCCTCGTATTCCGTTTACGCCCGCCCAGCTCCAGGCTTTGGAACGAGCTTACAAGGAATCCAACTATTTGAGTGCGGAGGATGCTAACAAGCTGGCCGACTCATTGGAGCTAACCAATACGCGAGTGAAGATCTGGTTCCAGAATCGTCGTGCCCGGGAGAGACGGGAGAAGCGAGAAAAGGACGAGAGCTGCGACTCGACCTTCTCATCCAACGCATCTAGTCCGGAGCCGGAGCAGGAGCAGGATGTATTAATCATTGTATGAAAAATCCCTTGAGTCTTGCGCTTGATGGAAATGTTTAAATTTGGCTGTTACTATGTAACTTGTGATTGTAATTGGGCTGATGACCTTTTGTAAATAGACTACATTATTGAATACATTTATAATTATGATACGAAGACAATAAATAGATTTTAAGCAACATTTATATTGTTTAAATAAAATCCACAGTTGATTACACGAATTATAAACTGAATTCATTTTATTATACAATTAAAACTGTTTATACATTTGTTTTTAAACATTTAAATATTAAAAAAAAATAATGTGAAATATTGAGTTCAAACTTCGATAAGAATGATAATTATATTTTGTATATACCTTAAGTTTAGTTTTTGAAAATTGATATACTTTTGCCAAAACATTCTGTTATTATTTTTTATTTTTTTTGCCAATGTAATACCCTCGATCCAATACTCAAATTCAAATCTTATTGACATGGGAATATAGGATTTAAATTTTTGATTACAAGAGAATTCAAATTGAAATTGATTAACAGGTGAACATAATCTTTTTAAATGCTTTTAAAAATCTTTTTAGAAAATTTCGGAGACTTTACTTTCTCAATTTAAGTATGAACTTGTTTGTTAAAAATTCAACTTCTTTTGTGATGTGTACAAATATTTCAATAAATTAATTTCCATAATATTTTTAGATTCTTATTTATTATTTGATTATCGATATTTTCTATAGATTTGTTATGTCAAACTTCCAAAGTTTTCAAGCATTTACTAAAAAATAATAATTTTGATAAATACGATCTGCCTTTACACATGATATTTTACTTGGATTATTACAAAATATATAAAATTAATATAAATGAGATATTAAAGATCTATACATATATGTAAATTATGGACACATCTTTGCATCTCCCAGAATATGACACTTTTACATCTCCCAGAATATTTTGTGCGTCTATAACTATTCAGTATAACATCCGTCGAGAGCTCATATTTTATATCAGGTCAGTTAACATAATGCAAATTACAAATTTGGTTAAGTAATTTGATCTTTTTGATAGGCAAGGTTGTGTTGCAACTTGATTGATTCTATTCCCACACATGCTCCCATTACGCATTGCCGTCAAGGATATCATGAGAGAGCGCGAATCATGTGCAAACACTGTGGGTAAAAACTATTCAGTCTGGGAAATTTCTTTTTAGAAATCATCAATGAAAAGGAAGCAACTCGCGTGCCGGAAAAACAGCAAACAACGAGCGAGAGGCGGGGCGTATCCTAAGCCGATTTTGCAATTGTTGCTGTTTTCATGGTCAAGAATAATTTGTTTTTCCGCTTTCCTTTGTTTGCATACAACGAAAATATCAAATTACAATGCGGCGGCTTTCCTCGGCAAAAAGTGCCGACGGGTAGGGGAGTTCCGAATTTAAGGATACTTTTGCGAATGCAAAAGATATGGCCCATTCGGCCAAGCTGTAAAGTAATTTCGTTTACGCAAATCCGCCTGCTATGTATACCTCAGCCATTGCTAATCCGATCATATAGCCATATATCCATACTAGATGGTAGGCCAAAGGACACCTGGCTCACAATCAGCCTTTACCGATATAAAATGAACATCTTCTGTAGAAAGCGAAGGGTTCTAAATTAATCACAATGATATACAAAATATATCAAATATATCGTTTCAGAGTTTAAAGGTAATGTAGCGGGCAAACTGCATTTGCTAGTCAACAGATGAACATCAAATGTATGAAAAAAGTCTCAATGCACGTACGCAAATTTCTTCTGGAATACTTTAAACCACACTCATTAGTTGCAGATAATTCATGTAAATTTGCTAAATCGGCTTATGAGCAGTATTCAATGAAGATGTGTTTATGTTACTAATCTAGTCCTGTTTGACAAACAATGCGGCAATATTTATTCTAATGGCGTAGAATAACACAGCCATGCGCCGTCATGGGCTGCAAATGTACTCTCAATAGATCCTATTCTTAAAGCCCAAAACAATGTGCAGGCAAAAGCGACGCACGCACATAATACCAAAGTGGGTCAAGTCGGGCATAGAAGTCTAGACGTGGTTGGATTAACGTAATTCCTATTTTTACGTAGATTGAGGTAAGCACGCAATGTGGCTTAGCGTGGCGTCAGGCTGGTATTTGTCATATGCGCTTACTATGTGTGTGACATAAATATATACACAATATATTCCAAACTAGGTTCGATAGTTAAAACTTGAAATTTTTGTAATTTCGTCAACTGATTATGTACAAATACATTTTTAAAAATAATTTCGTGTTAATGTTTCGCGCCATAACGTATTGAAAAGTCTGGCAGCACAGTTACAACTAGCAGAGTTGCCCGACAGTAATAGCGCTCTCTAGCGACATCTACAGCCGATTACAAAATATATCGTATCGCTGGCAGCCCTAATTTCTTTCTTTTCGATAGATCCGCATTAAAGTGACAAGGTGAGCAATTTTTTGTGCTATATTTTTGGATATTTCAATGGTTTTAATAACTTAAATGTGTACAACTCTGTATATAAAGTGTACCGAACGTGTTCTGCATAAAATGCAAAGCATGGCGTACGGCCAGATAGTGAAAATATTAGTGCAAATAATTACACGTGTTTTCTCACTGCTTCAGGCGTAGGTTGTGAATGTCAATTAAATGTAGTTTTATTGGTTTTCAGAGCACATCAATATGCAGCTTTTCGTACGTGGCTTGGAAAACATTGAAGCTTTGGAAGTGTCCCAGGATGCTACCATTGCTGGCGTCAAGGTGAGTAATTGTAGTCACAACACAAACTTCACCCTAACCTAATTTCGTTTGTTTCTCGCAGAGCCAACTGGCACAGCTACATGGCTTCGAAACTGAAGAGTTCAGCTTGAACTGCGAAGGTGCCACTCTAACCGATGAAACACCTGTGACAGCTCTGAGCTCCTTCGAATTGGATATTACCATTCCCATGATTGGTGGTAAAGTGCACGGTTCTTTGGCGCGTGCCGGTAAGGTCAAGGGACAAACGCCCAAGGTTGAGAAACAGGAGAAAAAGAAGAAGAAGACTGGTCGTGCCAAGCGCAGGATCCAGTACAATCGCCGCTTCGTCAACATTGTACAGGGCTTCGGCCGTCGTCGTGGCCCCAACGCCAACTCTACGTAAAGTGGATCAGTTTGCAGAAGGATTGATGAACAGAAGCTGAGCTATTTTTATTGCAAAATAATGTTCATATAAGTAATTTTCAACAATTAAACAAAACTTATTTTACGCATTTCAAGCTGTAATCCGACGCATCTTATGTGTTTCTCAATTGGAAAAGGGCACACGTTTGCGCTCCCTGCTAACCACAAAGAACCGGTGATACCAGAACTCAATGCAGCTCACAATCGTCGCCAAAATTACACCAAAGAGTAGTACCATGAAACAGCCCTGCATATCATCCATGTTAACTTTGTGATTGGCAATCTGGCGTTGCATATTCTTTCCATTACATTTGTCCATTGAAGGCAAATTCGTTTTATGCCAGCGATCAATGAATCCCATGCGGAAGAGTCTATCTATATGGTGGTTAATCAAATGTAAATAAGCACTGCCTGTGGGCACCATTAATCCAATCTGCTCATCGACAAAATCTTCCTTGCCTAATGCAAATCGGCACTCCTTATCCAACTCAAAGTGCTGTTGTACAATAAGCTGGAGATTAATACGCCAATCGATATTGATCCGATCACCATGCTTTACTGCATCAATATTCTCGCTCTGTACACTGTTGTATATTGAAGAGTGCGCAATGAACCGCTTGAAGTCCTCCCGTGTCGTGGCCTCTACGTACTTCTCAAAAAAGGTGCCATTACGCAGGCCGTATTGCTTGATTTCCTTATGAGCGAACAATTGATTGAGGTAATCAACGCCCGGCTGAAACTTTGGGAATGTTAGAAATGCAACGAGATTCCCGCAATAAGTGGTAACCAATACGATAACCACGAGCCACCAAAAGCCAACCACCAATCTTCCACTATCCGCACGAGGCAGATACATGCCACCTGCAGGATTTTTGATTAATTTTAAAATTTACATTCTATATCTTATGCTGACGGTACAAACCTTGTTGCAGCAAGGCTCCATAAATATACCAGAAACAGTTTTTCACGGTGGACAGACCGTGAATTCGAAGCTCAGGTAGTGGCATTAGACGATTTACGAAGTACAGTATGGGCGCCGTAAAAAACAAAATCCCTGCCAGGCAGCCCCAGGTCTCTAGGGTGAACGGAGCCGTGAACAGATAGATGCGACTTACTTCATCCGGTTGACGCAGAATGAACGTGTACTTCTGTATACTTATGGGTTGTGTGTAGTTGAAGTGTTTCTTGGAGGGCTCATCAATAGTGGCGGCCACGGCGCCCATAAAGTACGCATTGCTTTGCATTAACTCAACCACTCGATAGGGAATGCGATAGGTCATTGACCCCATCAGTGCATCCTGCAATTCGAACCTGTCGTTAAAATGTATCTTCTATATTTTCAAGTGTATCCATACACTGTCATTCATGTTCTGTCTGATCGTGTCATCAGTATCCGATGAATGGCCCTCATGCAAATAGTAGCTGAAGTTCAAGGCGCGGCTTAGTTCCTTCAATATTTCCATGACAATGCCCGAGTGCTCGACGATGACGCCGCGACTATCCTTGGTCAAGATTTGCCAGGGAGGATTCTACGAGAAATTTGAACCAATAATAAGATGAACATATATTCCTGGCTCAAAGACTCACATGCACTGTCACAATGTCCATGGTGATGTTACGAAAATGGTGATCAATATGGGGAAAGGTTAGCTCATGACACATGAAGCCCAGCAATGGAGTCCAGTAACCAATATTGATGAACTCAAAGTTCCGATTCTTAGCATCGCGAGTAGGTGCTAGAAGTAAGGAAAGCTATTTTAACTAAGTCCAGTTGGATGCATTACACCTACTTGTGCGAAATTTGCGATTTTCCTGACTCTTGCCCCAGGTGATAGCCGTTTCAATGCGCCAACGTGCGCAGCTTGCGCATTTACTGTTTGCCCTAAGGTATTCCTAGGAATTCGCATAGTAAATTGAAGTTTTTAGGTAGCTTAATTCCATTTGTTTTGCTTACTTTCATGTATTCAAGCATCGCGTCCTGTTTCTCTTGCTTGGTAAAACGTATCGACTCCCACTCCTCATCGGATATTTTGCCATAGATGGATTGCTCTTCGAGTATCATGCGTGACAACGACGTGACCACAGCCATGGAAACTTCTGATATGGTACAGTTCAATGTGTCCACGCAATCAGACACCGTTTCGTTCAGTGCAAAGGCTATATTTGCACCCTCATCTAGATTTATTGTTACAGTATTGGCATCAAAGTCACCACGCTGGTCTTCCAAAACAAAGAACATCCACTGATTGTTCACATGGAACATACTCAGCGTCTCTGCTATCTCAATAATATCCTCATGAAATTTGGATATTACCAAAAATTGTTGCCGCTTCAGTTCATGTTTGGCGGGTGCAAATTGAGACAATGCCTGACGCAGCGCCATGCGTTTCTGTGGCCCACGCAGCGTTTCGTCAATGTTGTACAGAGTTAGTGATAGTGGTGGTATGTGGTTGGTGGTGCTCTCGTGCACGACAGACTTGACCAGCATTGGATTGTTCTCAACTACCGTAGGGAAATGCACACATTATTCGGACTCCATGGCTGTGAATTTATGTTTGGAATACCCACGGATATTTTGGTCTACGAGCACAATCACCGATTTCCACTTAAGTATTCTCTGAACTTTGGCATCGAGCACGATTTGGGGGAGCTCATCTCCTTTGGAAACCATAGGAATCTAGATAGGGAGAGTGAATACCATGAAATAGAAGCATTCAACTTATCTCACCATCAGCGCACGATTTATTGGCAGACGTGGGCAATCCGAGTCAGTAATCGCAATCAGAAGTATAGATGATCGTTGAGTGCTTTTATAAAAGTTCCAGGTGCCCTCGCAATCCGTCACTGTTATGGCTGCCAAAAAGTCTATCGAGAGGCTATATATTTTGGCAATGGTATTTAAAGTAAATTTTCCATTTTACCTTTCTTAATTTTGACGGAGTTCCATGTAAAATAGCGCACGTTGATGCCGCCTGTCTTCATATTCTCGCGTATTATATCACTGAGAATCTTTTCAAAATGCGCCATTATATTCTGCCGATGTGTGGCCATGTATTCATAGTCCACGACCACAGCTGGAAGGATCATAATGAAGAATCGACCAAATGGTTATTTGTAGATTTCCGTGCTCACCCAGCGAGGCATTGGCGCTCAGAAACGATGCAAAGTCATTGGCCAGCACGGGAGCTGGAGAGTTGAGCAAGCCACAAAGAAAACTAAAGACTAAAGACGATAGCTTCATGATGTGCGAACTGTCGAGAAGCAACTAAAAAGTGAAAGCGAACTATACCAACGACGTTGCCTCGGATTTCCTTTTTTCTGATTTTTTTTTTTTAGGATATAGCATAAAGCCAATTAAAATCATGTTTGTTGGTGAGTGTACCATAGTTTCTAAAGCACATGAAATATTCACAGCACAGAAAGAGTCAATGGAAAAGGGGCTTTCGGCGGCAAGCGATTGATTGACAGTTTGCGGTTAGGCGTCGACATCCACATCAAATGTCAGGTACGTCAGCAAATTGTTGCAGGTGTCCGGTAAAGGATATTCGGGCAAATTATTGTGTTTGCGGTGTTAACTTCGTTTATTTAATTATATATATGAAATTGTTCATCAAAATTGCGTGTAAGTTAATTACATTTTACAATCTTACAGCTAGGGAACAAATAAAACTATCGGACCTCTAAACTAAAAGTTACAATTCACTTAGGTTACATTTTTGACTAGCTTTAACTTATGGTAGGGTGTTTATTAATATCAATTTAAATGGGTTTAGAAATATTTTGACAAAGTATAGAGTATATATTATATATATTGTTATTTTATATATTTTTTTTCTTTGTTTGTATGTATGTATGTATAATTTAGCTACACTTATTTCACTATTGTACAATTCCAAAAATGCTGTCATATATAAATGCATACGATTTCGATTGTAATTCGTTTTTATTTTGTATCTATAATGTTTGTATTACGAAAGTATTTCAATCATATTTACTATGTGCGTATATATGCATTTCTTATTTTTTTCATTTTATTTTTCGATAGCTTTTGCTTGTATATATATGTTGGATTCTCAACTATTGCTGCCTTTGAAAATGCTCTGTGTGAAACGTCAAATTCATTGGTGGCGCCACTCTTCTGTGCTTACCCAAATAGCATTTCCTCTCCATCCTTCAGTGCACTACTTAACGAGTATGCCAGAGTATATTTATAAATAGCTATACTACGTGTTGGGATTAATGCGTTGCAGTTAGCTGTGCCTGCATTGTTTATATTCCTGGTCCAAACTGTCGACCGACCCATTTTAAACCCATTCATCATGGGTTTACAATTTTCCTCATTCATTTAGAATTGCGCTCAGACGCTCCTCAACGGCTACTTTGCGTGACTTCCACACGAATTCACATACGGCTATGACACACGCCACGCCCATGCCGCCCATAAGTACCACAAATACGCCGCCCACATTGGCCAGACCCAGCTCATTGGCTGCCGACGATGATTTTGAGGTTTCAACACGGCATTTGCCACCTCCGCGCTTTTCCTTCCACCATTTGGTTTTCAGGATGTGCAGCTTGCCTTCCTCCTGGAGCTTGAGTATGACGCTATTGATGGCAGTGCGATAAGGCGAGTCTGTAATTGATGTAAGTTCAGCATGAATAGACTCAAAAAGACTGAAGTTCAATGATACTCACTTGGCGGCGTGGCTATTCCATAGCTTTTTGTATCAAGCATGCCGCCCACTTGGGTTAGCTCACAGTTACGTTCGGTGACATACTCAATGGATGTGGACTCCATTAGAAATGCATAGGAACCTTTGCCCTTGGCCACGCGCTCAACACCTTCACCATTGCTGGCTGTAAAGACCGAGGGACGTGCCGATTCCATAAAGGACCACATGCGCTGATATGTAGAGATCTTAGAGTCCTGTAAAAAAGGAATCAATTGTGGCCAGTCTTATTGCTTATTGAGTAGGTGTATTACCCTGAAAAACGCCGCTGTGCTACCGCCTTTGAGAGCGCCATACTTGATTCTCGTCTGCTTGGCCAAGTCCTCGGCGCTTTCAATGGGCGAATCCATGCGTTCAACAGTCAAAAATGCAGCAAGATTGGCAGTGTAAGAGGAGATCATGATAAGAGTGAAAAACCACCAAATGCCAGCTACCATGCGAGTTGACAGAGCTCTGAAATGGAGACCAATGATATGAAACATTAAATATATAGCTAATTATGAAGAGCAACCTACTTGGGTAGAAAATCGCAGCCCTGCTGCATAAGAGATCCAATGGCAAACCACATGCAATTGAGCAATGTGAACTGACTTTCAACCTTCTCGCCATGGGCATCGGTATAGGCAGGCCACTCGTAGGGCGTGAACCTATGAAATATATGGAACTTTTTTTTATAAGCTTAATCATAATTTAAACAAGAGCTCAACCCACTTGGCTAATATAAAAAGCAGTACAGAGACGCCCAGATATGCTGTGGCCATGTAGATCCAAACATCTAGAGATAAAGGCGACAAAAAGGAGAACAAATTGGGCGGTTGTTTGATTGGCTTGCGATAGAGTATAGAGACTCCAAGGTTCATAAATGGAGTGGTAAAGTCAACAGCCTGCTCGCGCTCAAAGGTGATTGTGAGATCGGCTATGGCCAGATCGGCGCGCTGCTCCAACAGCTCGCGTATCATGCCGTTCCACTCGCTGTCGGAAATAATAATGTTTAGCAAATCTACAACGAACTGTTCTCGCTCTAGAAACTTACCCAGTCATTTTATTTAAGCTGCCGTAGCTGCCATCGGGCACAAGCTGAATCTTATAGTTAAAGCCCAGCGATCTAGATATCTCGTGTATTAGATCCACTGCGTAGCCTTCAAACTGATCGTTACCCGTTAAAGGCACGGCTGATTCCTTGCGCATGCAGTAAGGATTGCTCTGTCAAAGAGAACGAGCAATGCTCAAACTAATCCACAAATGCTTACAGAATACTCACCAATATGGTTGTGACCACCAATGTCTTGTTCTTCAGATTTGCCTCGATCTCTTGCTGTTTCTGGCTGAAGGTGCGAGTAAAGTTGATGCCTTCGGGCAACGTTGAGTTCCAGGTGCCTATTTTTCGTATACCGGCCGGTGTAAGCTCAACGATGTCCAGCATAAAATCTGTACGAAATCCCTGATGATCAAACTTAATCACATTAGTCAGGCCCTTCATCTCTACAATTTTCATGTAGTTAATTAGGCTGAAGCCATGCTGCCAGGTGCTTTGGCCATCGCAACTGATCGGGTGTATATCAATCTGCTGCGAGGTGTCCAGGTCATGCAGCGCCTTGGCAAACAGATGCACTGCATCGTACATGAGCGCCGTCTCGGAGCGGACAGTTGTTAGATTAGCCGAACGCAGCATGCCCTTATCATCGATGCTCCACTGACGCACCACATCCGAGACGACTTTCTCATTGATGAGGCGGAAGCCAGTGATGTTTGTGCCGCCATAACGAAACTCATCCAGGTTCACAGTATGCAGATCCAGAGATGTGACCAAATAGCTATGATAGTCGCTCATCATGCCGATCTGTTGTGCCTGCTTGAGCACTTCATGAACCCGTTCTGTAGAGCAATCCAGCACAATATGCGCCTCCGCCGAGTTCTTAATCTGTTTCAGCAGAGGACTATAATTGCGGTGATTTAATAGGTTATTAAAAAAATCAGTTGCTTATAGGTGAGCCTACCGATAGTCTCCGCTGTCGCTGAGCTGGCGCACAGTAATTGGAAACGGTGTCATGCCATGAGCCTTTAGCAGCTCCTGCAGTCGCACAATGCCATCGTTATTCTCATAGATAATGGTAAAAGTCTTCCAGCCCCAGTGGCGCACAATATCCACATAAGCCTGAGTTAAAGCACAAATATCAAGAGCTGCAGCACAGTTGGCATCAAGCCACACAATAGGAAAACGTTACCTTGGAGAGCGTGTTTGGATGAGGATAAAGATTCACCAGACAACTTTCACGTCTCAGTCGGTAATCCCAGCGATTCTCCAAATGTGGTATCTAAATAATTGTGTGCAACAGTCATCATACATTAAGGCGATTTCATACCCCTCCCCCCATCTACTTTTTAACTATGATGCCACTCACCTCCATGTTGTCGCAAATGCTTTGCACATGGCTGGCAGTGTGCGAGGATTGCGGACCGAAAATTGCAGCAACACCAATGTTCAACAAGCCACAAACTGAAAAAGGACATGAGGAGGTTTAATGTATAAAGCGGATTCCCACTTATTGGCCAACTTTTACTCTGACTGCCGAAAGTCTTAAGGAAGATGCAGCAGAGTGTAGTGAGAATAATATAAGTCCCATAAGAGGGCCACCGAGTCGTAAATTGATTTTCACGTAATACGCTTTCTGCTGCTCCCAATCCAAATCCCAATGCACCTTCTGTATGAGATTATCTCGACTGAATCTCCCGATTTGTGGCAGCCAACATAAAATGGGTCCAAGTAGCACGTATACTACTTGGCCGCATATACAGTAACGAACATTCGTTTCGCCTAGTTCGCATATTTAAAATGCACTTCAAATAGAGATAATTCCATTTTGCCTTTCGGCTTTGGCTTTGGCTTTAGCTTTACCTTCTACCTCAGCATCCGTTAGCTCATCAAATTACTGAGCACATGCAAGTGCATCTGTGCATGTGTAGTTAAGTCCACACATACATATATGCATATGTATATGTTTGTGGGTGGATATGGGTGGATGATTGCACAGCTTGACTGTGGTAAATAATGCACTCAGGTCCCTTGCAGCCATTTACTATCCTGCTAAAACGTGTTTAATTTTGGCTTTGAGTACTGTGCCGTCAGGTAGCTTTGGCCATGTACATAACTGCTTAATGAGCACCTTTACATGTCTCTCGGATATCAGAGTGTCACTATATTCTCTGTATTTTATTTTTTTAAATAAATTTCAAGGTTCTTCTAAACTAGATATTTAAGTCTGGTCGATAATTTGTTTATTTAAATATAAATTTGGTTAGTTGAAATAATTTATAACATTTGTTATGATTTATGCACTTAACTATATCAAATTTATTTAATTCGATTTATATATTTTATGCCAATCAATGCCAATAAACGAAACTGACTTAAAGTTAAACAATAGTCATCAATGAATTGAAAGAGATGTCTAAACACAATAAAATGAACCTGCGATATGAACAGACGAATATGCTGTGCGATTGTTTCAAATTGCATTATTATTCGTCGATGATAATTGAATCTAATGAAGCATACATAAGTCTAAATTGCATTATTTTGAAATGGCAGGAAACGCAGCGCTACGGGGGAATGAGAACAATAACAGATATACATATATGTGGGGTCATCAGGTGTAGCGCATGCCGTGCCACCTACTGCTTACCTCGTTTGCCGGCATGGAAGCTGTCAAATGGCGAAATGCGCTCAATTTGGGCGACAAGTTTAGACCGGGGTAAAATCGAGCGGTCGGCATTTATGCGCTCGACGGCTTGGCGAAAGGCGAGCTCCTGATGGTCGTCAGAGGGATGAAATAGTCCACCTGCGGCGATAAACGGGTAAAAACAATGTTATTAATAAGTAAGTACAAACGTTTCTGATGATAAAAAAAAGGAAAGCGATGGCAAGGAGGAACAAACAAAACACAAAAACAAACGCGACACACATCAGCAAGGACATTTCCTAGTATATACACACACGCGCGCTTTTGATGTGTTAAAAAAATCGATACATGCCAAAGATGCTTTTGAAATCAGGCAATGAATGATGACGAAGTTGACAGCTTCAATAAATTAATATTGGGTTGAATGCCACAACAATAAATCAAAAGCAACTAACCGATTTTGATAACGTCGGGCAGTGCCAGAGTCGTTCGCCAGTTGAATGCATTTTGCAGCATCAGCAGCAATACCAATAAAAGCAGCGCATTATTATTGCCGACACTTGGCTGCATTTTGGCTACGTTTACTTGTGGAACACCGTTTGTCGACTAGTTTGGATTTGATACTTTCTGAATCTATCACTAGTTTAAAGTCTGTTTTCTAAACTCGCGTTGACATTTTACAGGCAGATTATTTCCCCTTTATCTGGCGTCGCGTTCCGTTCACGATTGAGATGAAACATCTACTGAGCACGACTGACTGATTTTTGCTCTTTTAAATATGTCCTGTTGCAGGTTGGCAGCGGTCTGAGGGTGGGTGGTATCCAAAAGCCGGGTGACAGATCATACATCTGCGCAGTGAATGCGGATGCTGTAGCCAGTGATGGGTTTCGTGTGCGGCCTCTTGGAATCAAATTGGGGTCATTTATAAATTTTGTTGTGTGATGTATCAGTGTAGTCAGTCAATAATATTCGAAAATCGATTGGCTAGTTTTCAATTTTTAAATGATATATTTCAAATTATCTTGCCGCCTTCTGTTAATTTACATAGTTCTGTTAACACACTCTCGCGGGACCTGCCAACTTGTTTACAATGAATGACGCGAAGCAGAATTGTATGTAATGGCGCGTAGTTGACGCGAATGCTTTCTGGCGACATTTGACAATTGAAGTTGTGCTGAAATTAACTAAAACTGTAATCTGTGCCTTCTTAGACCTGAAAATGCCTCGTGTCGCTAAGCCAAAACCAGCGGCGGCTAAAAAGGCCAAAGGCAAGTTGTATGCCATGCCGGAGAAGTTAAAGGAGGGAACCATACTCAGTGACTTGTCGAAGACACAGTGGCGCATCGGGCCTTCGATTGGAGTTGGCGGCTTTGGAGAAATCTATGCAGCAACTCGCAATGGCGAAAACAACTACGATGCTGTGGTGAAATGCGTCAGTATTGAATGTTATCTATACAAGAAACTCGATAGCTTAAACAGCGACTTTTCATTAATTCCAGGAACCACATGCAAATGGACCGCTTTTTGTCGAAATGCACTTCTATTTGCGAAATGCAAAACTAGAAGACATTAAAAAATTTAAGGAGAAGCGTGGCCTTAAATCTCTAGGCATGCCCTATATAATAGCCAACGGCTCTGTGGATATAAATGGCCAGAAGCATCGATTTATAGTTATGCCTCGTTACGGCAGTGATATATCCAAGTTTTATATTCAGAACGGCAAACGCTTGCCCGAGGTAACCGTGTACCGATTGGCCATTCAAATGTTGGATGTGTATGAGTTTATGCACAGCACCGGCTATGTCCACGCTGATCTTAAAGCGGCTAACATTCTACTTGGCATGGGAAAAGGCGGTGGTAGCCAGGCCTATTTGGTGGATTTTGGCTTAGCCTCGCACTATACAACGGGCGATTACAAACCGGATCCAAAGAAAATGCATAATGGCACTATTGAGTACACATCGCGGGACGCCCATTTGGGTGTAGCTACTCGACGAGCTGATCTTGAAATACTCGGGTATAATATTATTGAATGGTTAGGTGTGGAGCTACCATGGATTAAGGAGAAGCTGCTGACTGCGCCGGCAAAAGTTCAAAAAGCCAAGGAGACTTTTATGGCGAATCTCAGCTCTTCTTTAAAGTCCGTTTTTCCCAAAGGTGTGCCTGCACCAGTCGCTGATTACATGAAGTACGTAGCTCAGCTGAATCACAACGAAGCCCCGGACTATGAGAAATGCCGTAAGATGTTTTTAAATGCTCTAAAGCAAATGAAAGCAGATAACACTGGAGACTTGGATTTTAATCTTAAGGCACAAAAAAGTAGCAACAACAATAACAGTCCACCAGTTAAAAAGACAGCTGGAGCAGCTGCGACTGCGGCGAATATTCGGAATAAGGTTAAAAACGAAAAACCTATATTAAATGACTCTTCGGATTCGGAGGATGTAATCAATGATAGCGAGGAAGAAGTGGATACAAAATATACTCCTCGCAGAAAGCTGCCAGCAGTGAAACAATCTTCAAGTCCAAGGTCTAAAGATACCAAGCCAAAGCTTGCACGCAAAGCAGTGCCCAAACCAGCATCAGCTTCGCCCAAAAAACGGGAAGCTCAGGAAAGCAAATCACCACTGCGCACAAGTCCGCTCAAGCGGCAAAAAATAGATAGCAATGTCACGCCTAAGGCACAGGCCGCCAGTGCCAAGATTAACTTTAGTCCAGCAATTTCGCTGCGTGGCGGCCGATCTGGTAAGACTGTAATCAATGATGACTTGACTCCGCAGCCGCGCTCTAACAAGACATATGAGTTTAACTTTGAACTGGATGTCAGCATGGATGCTAATGTCATTGTGAATGTGAAGCGAAAAAAGAAGGAGCAAGGTAGCACACCTGCGGGCAGCAGCAAGACCTCCTCCGCGATCAGTAATCTCACACCCAAGAGCGGCTCTCCAGCGACACGCATTAATTTGCGAAAAGTTAATGGGGACGGTAGCTCTAGTTCGCCAACGCCGAACCCCACCCGTAGTCCTCGCACTCCGGCAGTTACCGTACGCAAGTACAGGCGCTAATCCAACTTATATTTTTATATATAGATTTAATTTTGTCATTATACCCGTTTTTGATACTTAGATAGGCATATTTTATCGATAATGAATTATATGTTGTATGAATTTGATTTTCACATTAAAAATTATATTAAAAGTTAAGTAACCACTATTTCGATCTTCGTTTGCTGCTGCTCTCGTGATGCTTGCTCTTGCTGGATTTGGTCGTCGAACTGCCGCGGCGTGAGGATGACGTGCTACTGCTGCTGCTGGTGTGTTTTTCCACTGTGGCGATGTTAGTTAACGCGGGTGCCATAGCTCGACTGGAGCGGTCTTCCTTGTGCGACTTTGAAGACGATGAGGAGGAAGACTTGTGTCCATGTTTGCTGCTACTGCTGCTGCTCACATTTGTAGAGCTGCTCATCTCGGGCTTGTAGAACGGCGATGACGAATTCGAGGATGTAGATGAGCGCGACGACGGCACGGATGATTTGCTCTTAGTTGCCAGTGGTATGGGCTCATCGGGTATGACCACAGTAGGGGTGGCCGTTGGAATGGTTATAGTAGCAGCTGCGCGGCTAGTTGAGGGCTTATTGCAACAGGTGTCACATTGCCAGATATGCACTTGATCGTCTGCCGCCTCCTCATTGGTAATAGGTGGCTTATGGCACTCTTGGTGATAAAGTGCACCGCACTCAGAACACTCAATTAGTCGATTGGTGGCCTTATAAACCATTTCACCACATACACAACAATTCAAGTCACCAAAGTCGCCAGTGTCACCTGTATTGACAACACCGCTCATGGCTATTCCAATGGCGCTGCCATCATCTGAATCTGCAATGGTGTCCGGCGAATCTGCGGGTACCTTGTCCGGGGAGTTGGTCAGATTGATAATTTCATCGGTGGCCATAGGCTGTATTGGAGGCTGTGGAGTCGCACGGCCTGGAAAATTTGCTTCGTCGTCGACCATGCGTTGGGTCATGTTTTTTGATATCATCTTGTCCGGTCCAAACCGCAATTTAATCGCTTCATCCAACAGCATCCGAAGCTCCGCTGCAGACGTAGGATTTGTTGAATGCAACAGTTTGATTGCCTTTTTGAGCACAGGATCTACTTCCTGTGAAGCAGCTGCTGCTGCAGCAATATTGGCAGCCATTTTACTTGATGATATTAGTTAAGAAAAGAAATGCAACTTTTTAGTAATAAACTAAATGCATTCAATATATATAGAGTTGATTTAGCGCAAGCAGCTGATTGCGATTGTTATTCAACACTGCTTTTATGCGTCCCTCGCTCTTCTGATAAACTGTTGCTTTATTGCAATTTAAAAATACGTTAGACAAAATCGTTTGAATCCCGGGCGGTTCGTTAAATTTAAGTCGTCTGTTAAGGTTAAACCTAAATATAAGCTACTCGAGCACTTATTTTGTTTCTGCCGCATAATTTATATATATATATATATTGAGCAAATACTCTATACTTTTTGAAATTTTTAGTATTTCTCTCATAGGTCAATGTAGTTCACAATAGACAACAGCTGATTGTGAAGGTTAACCAATACTATTTGTTGCTGCCCTGACTATGCTTCTTCTTTATTACTGTTGCTATTTTTGCATCTTTACCCTCACCGTTGTGGCTCCGATGCCGCTGAGTTTATGCCTTAATCAATTTTGCTGCGTTGCGAAAATTACATCCAGTTGTTTTGAATAAACAAGCCTCTGTGCCGTTGTGTTGTGAATCATAGTGAGCGACCGACTTGTGCTTATCATTGAGTGCAATCTACCGCGCTATTCAGATAAGACAGGCGGTCTTTGAAAAATCGAATCGGCATAACACCAACCGTGTCTAAGTAAACAATTTACCAAAGCAGTCAGCGAGTATATGTGATAAGCTTAATAACGTTTGAAGACGATACGCAAAAATAAAACTTAAACCCTTGGACACAATAATTGCTTTGTTCTGCAGATTAATCGAATTCTATTACAAGTATATATGTACGAGGAGCTAAGATATTTGTAATGAGTAATCAACGGAGAATAGGGATTTGTGGCGCCACAACGACGCCGATTTCGATGCTGGTCATATTACTGGCGTTTATATGCAGTGTAACCGCTGGGGATGACGCAAATCAGCTGGTGAGTGGCTGCCGGGAGATGGGTTGCAGGTGTAATGGAAGTGTTTTCTTTTTTGTTTTCCTTACTCTGTTTGGCTAACTGTGTTGTTAACAGTATTACAAATTTCGTACTGCGCACTTGTTGCCATGTTAACAGGTAATAGACCGATACTGTTTAGATTTGTGGCCAGCAATGTATGTATACGTATGAGCTAAACCAAAGGGGCACCATTATAAATAAGTATATTTATAGACATAAATATATAAAACAAAATATATATATAATGGTATTTATATGCCCATATATTCGAGATATATGTATGCATACATGTATAGAAATGTTTGTATGCGCATTGTATTGGTGCCATTTAGCCTTTGTTCTCTTTATTTAGTAATCAATCAGTAAAATGAAGATATCACCACAGAGCGAAAATGCCTGTTAACAGTTAACAGTGAGCTAACAGATTGATAAGAATGGCGGCAATTTTGAATATTTCGTATGCTTACAGGACTTTACATCGAGCGATTGTACTCTAACAGAGCCCGTCTATGGCAACAAGTTCGATTTCAGCAAATTGCGCTCGGATTTGGCGCATGTAGTGCGAAGTGTTAGCAATGATATCTTTGAGTTTAATGTGTGCAGCAACTTGACGTACCAGTGTAACAATGAGAGTAATGTGGCTGCTTGTCTCAAGAGACAGGGTAGAGAATATGTGCTCGGTAAGCGTAATATGATTCATTAAAAATACGCTTACTTGAAAGTTTTTATGATCATAGGTCGCAAACATGAACTACATTATCATAATGGAAAAATGTATCTTAAGTATTTAAGTGGAGCGAAATGTGAGAACGGAACCAAAGACCATCCAAACTATCAGCTTCATGTGATTCTGAATTGCGACTACACGCTGGATAGCAATCCATTGCAAATAACTTCATTTGTAAGTGACCGTAACACCTTTTAATATAATTAGAACTATCATTTATTTGCAACTTTTTATAGGCTGAAGATACTTGTTCCTTCTATATTAACTATGACACTCCGATAGCCTGTTTACCGATACCACATGATGCGCACTCCAATAGCTGCAGTGTGGCGTACACGAATACTGGGAATACATTCGATTTGATGGAGCTTAGCGATGTCAACTATAGAACCACTGACCGTCAAGGAAATTTCTTTATAATCAATGTGTGTAAACCGGTGCTTTACGGCGAGAATACCATGTGCCCAGCCGGGAGCAGCATTTGTCTATTTTCCCCCAAAGAAACCGATTTAAAAAAACGGTGTGTAAATGTAGATTATTATATATGAATTATCGAAAGCTGAACTTTTAATGTTTTTATATTTTAAATCTTCAACATACTCTCAGTTTCATCAACTTCGGCAATGTACAGACGCAACCCGTATATAAAAACGAGCAGCTACTTTTGATACATAACTCGTCAACACCGTGTGCAGGAAATTCCAAATTGAACTATAGCAGTATTGTTAATTTCCACTGCGACAAGAACGTTATGGTTTGTTTTTGATAGCATAATCGTTAAGAGATCGATGCATTGTACTTTTTTATTTTCAGAACGCACATCCCGAATACGTGGGTCCGGATCAAGATGGTTGCACACACCAGTTTAACTTTATCACGCCGCTAGCGTGCAAGAATCTGAAGCCCTGTACGGCTAGGACGACGAGCAATGAGCTGTAAGTCGACCTTATCCTGTACCCTACTGAGTATGTCACTTATTTGAATGTACTTCACAGCCTGGATCTCAGCGCACTCAGTAACCGTGCACCACACAAATTGTCCAAAGACGGGAAAACCTACAATGTGGCTGTATGCACCGGTGCCGGTTCACCATGCTTGGCGAATGGTGGTAAGTTGGTCATTTGTTGTCTGAATTATTAACGAAGTTTTTAAGTGCAGCCGCAGCCGCTGTCGACGTTGCACGTATGCCAGCATCCACCTAGCATGTTGCACGTCACATGAATGCCAGGAAGAGTATAATTAAAATTTAACACTCGAGTGCTTAAGTTGAGGAAAAACTGTGTGTTATTCTTTAATCAGCTTAGTTTACTGCAAATAAGCTGGTTTAGTTCCAGGCTAAGATTCTAAACCCTTTAGTATTCCGTAAGCTCTCTAATATTTTTATTTACATGATTTGAAGCTCAAGGGATAATGTGGTAAAGAAAAATATGTGTATTTAAATTGTCTTATTATCTTTTTAAATAATTTATTTTGCATTTTAAAATTAGCTTCGTGAGTGTACAAATATTTGTATGTATATGATGACCTCAGCAGAGCTTTGTTGCTGTGTTCATACGCATATAAAGCATAAAACTTTAAGGGGATAGAGGCATAACGCCATGACTCCAGCGAATAAGGAAGAAGAAATTAGCGTGAACTTATAATTTCTAACACAAATTTAAGCGGATTTATAGTCACCTCTCGTGAATCGCTACACTTTGCAGAGAATTGCTAATATTCCCAAAAAACAAAAATGTTATACCATAGTAAACGAGAACAGTAAATATAATCCATATGGGCTGTTGTCAGAGTAAATGTGCCTGGGCTTAGCCGTGAAACATACAGACCACAGACACACACACACGCAGTCCACTATACTCTTACACGCACAGAATTGTGCCTGCATATCTAGTTCACTACAGACGCATTTCCGTTGGCGCGTCCTTTTCGTTCTTTGGACTGCCTCGCGGCTGACAGTAAAAACGTGGGCAGGGTATGGGAGTCGAGCTCGAAATCATGACCACCGCTGGGCCAAAACAAATAAATAAGCTTGCTTGCATTTGGCAACTGCCATTGCTATCCGGACCAGACACCGACGCGGATAGGCTTAAGGGCGAGACGCCTGCGGGCCAACATTTGGCGGGGCACTACACGAAAATTTCATTTGTTAAGCAAATAGCAGACACGGTCACGCGAAACGCCGTGCATTCTATATGCAACTCTGGTATCTGGCGCCTAGATGACACTGACAGACGCCATATTGCTGCATGTAAATTCCGATGTTGTTGTTGTATATATGTATACTCTATGCGGTGTGTGCCAAAGTGGGTATACACTAGTTGGTAGCTAAGAGTAAGAGCTTGTAAGGAGCTTAGTGAACACTATTGTTATTATTTGAATGCATCAAGTGAATATTCTTAAAGCATTGTCTGGTTTGTGGAGTCTGGAGAAAGTCTATAGAGATCTTATAAGAGTATGTATGTGTATAGCTTCTGTTGGTTATATAGCAAATATCATTGACATTATAGTAGTAGATGGATTAAGAGAGAGTAGCTCGCATGTCATGTTTTCACATTTGCAGTTTCCTTTCACAATTGTGCTGATATTTTGTAGTTCTACAGTCGAACGCATTTTGCGCTGCATTTCGTACATGCAGCCTGGCTGCAAGTTATAGCCATGGTTATGGCCAACAAGGCCGCCGAGTTAGTCGTAATAAAATGTTGTTAATTGCTTATGCCACACACGTTGCACGCTGTCATTTCATGTATTTTGAATTTTTAGATGTTTCAGCATGTATCTGGGAAAACATTTAGATATGGTTATTCGGATGTAAATGATAAATGATAAATGGCTGAATCGCATCAATATCAATTTACAAATGTTGTTTTTGTGTGCAACTCGTTTGCGTAGCTGATTAGACTACGGCGTAGAATTATCCCGTGGCTATGTTCATTTCGATCAAACTGTCGACAAGCGTCGAGTTATGCCAAAAACAAAACAATTGCAGTCAGCCCCAGCAGCAAAAATAAATGCACAAATCGTAGCCACTCCAAGCAGTTTGAAGAGTGTGTTTATTTTCTACATAGCGCAGCAGTTGGCAAGCTACAATCTTAATAATTTTCAATTTATGTATACATATATATATATACTAGCTGGCCCGGCAAACGTTGCATTGCCCTCTATATTATTTCTAGGTAAAAAATKRTTRAWAGSTATGTTGTTCAGGTTGGGATACACTCTGATTAATTTATTAATCGGATTTTCATTCAAGCGCCTTGTAAAGGACATTCTTCGTTTTTTGGTCAGGTGCAAGAACAAATAATGCGGATGGTTTGCCAACACGTGAGCTTGCCACGTTCAATTGACCATGAGAAAAACACACATTTTCTAGATTGAGGCCACAAATAGTCAAAGATTGGCCCTGTGACAAGCCTACTGGGTATAAAAAAAATTTGAACATTTGGGGAAAAAACCGCGTTTTTCAAGTATTCGGCAAATTTTTTCAGTATTTTTAAGACCCTATACTAAACTCGTTGCGGAGACAAATCCAACAAATCAAAAACCATGAAAATTGGTCCAGCAGATCTCGAGTTATAAGTGCTTGGACACTTTTACACAACTCTCTTTTATATATATAGATATTTATATATGTATATATTTTCCCCCAATATTTTCTAATATTGTTTTATTTATTTTTTTTTTTTTTTGTAAGCTGGCAATTTTTTTGTGAGCGTTAGTGTTGTTTTGCTGTTGGGCAGATTCAATTTAGAGACACGCCCCATTCCTGACACTTGCCAGCAGCCCTTTCGTCCCAGGATGCGCCAGGATGTGCCAGCCAAGCAGCTACTAAATCGTTTATACATTTGTTTTCTACATTTTTCTTTGTTGTGCTGGCCAAGGTTTTGAGCCCTTTTCTTGGTGCTTTCTTTTCTGTTTTCTTATTGAAATTCGATTTGCTATACTTTCGTTTCGTTTTTGCTGGCCTGCCTTTTTTTTCCCTGTCCATGTTAATGCTAAGTGTGTGTATATAAATATATACATATATACATATACATATATGTATTATGCTATCAGCTCTTAAATTTATTTGCCCTGGAACGCAACAAATTTAACTGTATCTTGGTTCTGGTTATAGTTAACTCCTTCTTAGAGCTGGAGCGATTTTAGCAATAGATTGTTTTTAGCTTTGGCCGTTGCCTTGGCTTCTGGCCACACAATTTGCGAAGACCCATGGGCTCTAGCCAAGCAGTGATTGGATTGAAATTGAATTTGTGAGTGTTTTGTGGCGTAATTCACTTTCACATTTTTTGCTTGGTGTGACAGCAGATCAATATCCTTGGCTAATCTCGGCACGGAAATAATTTGAGACCCAAAAGGTGGACATCTGGGATGGCAGCAGTTGTGTCTCTTCACTCGTTTTCATTTGCGTTGCAAGGGTCAGTTGCACGTTGTCACACAGGACATGCACACAGACACACGCACACACATACAGACACTCGATGCTGGCACAGATACTTGTACGAGTATTGTCACGCTTCGACGAAATTCTCATTTATCAATTTGTTTGACAGTCGATTTCTTTTCAGTTCAAGAGCAAAAACCACATCAATTGACTTTTTGTTTAAACGGACCCGGTGCACCACCACCTATGTGGCCAAATCAAAAAGCCAACGATATCGATCAGATTCTATTGTGGTGCTTGTACTTGCTTCCTGCTGTGGCATCTGCAATAAAGCACGAAAGCAGACAAATAACAAAAAATAGCCAGGGGCAGCAGTGTGATAGATAGAAAAGGAGAGTGTACGATTGACTGGAATTACCATATTCTAGTCAAATCATAGTCAAACTCGCAATGCTGACCACTAGATGCATTTCAATCAAAATGAAGGAGAATAACTGATTTTCCGCTATAAATGCCATTCGATGCTGTATGTACATGTTAAGTAAATGTTATACATATGTATATGTAAATTTGCTATGGGAATTGAGAGTGGAACGATTTTCTGAAAATATATGGAATAGCCAGAAGAATCAGAAGTCACTCGATTTAATCATGTCTATGCGTCTGTATGAACTCAGATTATAAGTACCATTAAAATGATAGAATACAATTTGATATGTATATGGTTAGTTAGTATACCCAATATGAGCTTGTCAAATTTAGCCTTTAATTGTGAATTTTATACACTCTTAAGCAACTCATCTATGGAAATTTGTATAATATTTATTTGGTTTGCATAATGTGCATCATATATCATTTCATATACACACATTTGTATATTTGCCTACGGTCAAATATCATTTGTCACAGTCTTCATATAGAGCACAATTTGAGGTGGACGAAAACCAGAAGCAGTTGATAAGCGAATGGCGCAATAAACGGGGAAGAGAGCAACAATTAATTTTCCCTTTGATGGGCTGATGGACTCGGCTCTCATGGCAAGCGTTCCATTTGACGGCCATTTTGGTGAAGTGGGTGAATCAAAGGGGTGGTGCCACGTTGCTGGTGCCCTGCTGTTGAGGGCGGCACTTGTCACAGTTTTTGTGAACATGTCTAACACACGCTGCAGCTCACTTGGCTTCCCTTGTGCACTTTCAGGCGCCTGTTATGAAGAGAATGGCGTAAGCTATGGCCTGGGCAACTTCAATGCGAATTTGCGTTTCAATCAGAGCGGCTCGCCGTATTTGCTCTACGAGGATGGCGTTAAATGCGACAACGGCAATCGTCGCTGGTCCACAAAAATCGAATTTGTGTGTGCCAGCAATGCAACGAAGGGCAGCTCGGGCGGCGATGCTCTGCATATAATTGAGGACTCCAATTGCCAGTTGTTAATTCAATATTGGACGCCGCTAGCATGTCTGGAGCAGATTAGATGCACAGAAAAGATCTATGTGGACAATTCAGAGGATGGCACTGGCGGCGGCGGCTATGAGCTATTCGACATAACACCCCTGATAAACAACTATGAAAATTATGAGGCACGGGTCGCATTGCCAGACAACCAACAGCAGCAGGTGGCCAAAAATACGAAGGTGAGTGTGCCAGAGCTTGATTTCCCATTGGTGCTGTCGGTATCTAGCTGCCCATTTCTTTGTCTTTACAGTTCTTTTTGAATGTGTGCCGCCCATTAGTGCCGAAATACCAATTAGGCTGCGCCGGTGGTTCTGCTGTCTGTATGGCCAAAATGTCGGCAGCCGGTTCCCCAGAGGAGGAGGTTGTAAGTACCAGTCAAAGCGGCTTATAGCCTAAAGCCTAAGCTCTGGCGTATGTGCCACTTCTCATGTGTGCGTGTGTGTGTGTGTGTGCATGTGTGCATGTGTGCATGTGTGCACTGTGTATTGCTCGTAATTGGCGCCAATTTCACTGTGGCCAGTTGAATATTTTTGCGACTCATAAGCACATTCGTCCCTGCTAAATGGTTAAATTAGGCCATTAAGCCGTTTGGCCAAATGCCCAAAAAAATTTGTGGCGCCATTCATGCATTAAATATGCAGCAAATCCAATTGCTAAGCCAGAGCCCCCTTGGCCAGTGGCCGCCTGTGACACACACAGTGGTAGTCAGTCAGTGGCCACTAGGCACCACTGAGTGACCAGTGGATTTGGTTACTTCATTAAGCGACGCAAATGTCCACCCGCCTGCCGTTGACAGCTGAAGAGAGCCGACTGTGGCCAGTCTCTAAAAGTTGCCTAATGCCACAAATTGTGAACACGCCCTCTTGTCCATTTTCCATCTAAGTCCCTTCCTTTGGCTCTCTCTGCTTGTGTGCTTGTGCTTGTGTCTGTGCCTGGGTATCCTGCTGTCCGAACTGCCGGCTGCTCGTCGCTTAAATAAGTACTTAAGCCCACAAAAGTATGCAATGAAATTCGCTTGAAATGAGATTTCAGATCATGCTACAAATTGCTCGCCGACATTGTCGGGTTTTCCTGCCACTCGAATGCATGAATGCGCTGAAATTTTCCCAAATGCTGAACAGTTGTAATCAATCTATTTTGGTGATTTTAATTTCTGCATTCATTTGTATTTATATCTGTGTATATATCAGCCCTAGCACTATTTATACTTTGTCGATTAGCAGCTCAATTTAACATTTGAAAGGCTCAGCTTTAGAGCAAATCATTATGAATCGCTTTGCTGGCATTGAGCAACTCTTACGCAATAATTATATGAATTATTATGCGCTGACAGAGCGACCCAATCATTGCCAGCGACACAGAATGCATACCGTATGCCACAGGCACTGTCCGCGATTCTCCCCCCTCAGAGCATAACTTTTATCACATGCCAGAGGCAAAAACAATGTTAAAGTTGTTAAAAAAATAAGCACGTACGCGCTGCAAATGACGAGGGGCATAGGGTCCTCGATTAGGGGATAGAGGATAGGGGGGTTGAGTGTTGGGTGTTGGCGACGTTGCGTGGCTCGCGTTATTCGTGAATGTAACGTGGCAGAAGGCAACGGAACGGAACGGAAGGATATGGCAAAATGCGGCTATGGCGTTGACGCTGGCGTAAAAATATGTGCACATACACACTCAGATAAATGTGTATATATGTATATAAATATATATGTATATGTATCTGCATATATAACTGTAAAAACAGCTTTTAGCGGCCAACAGCCATCACAGTGGTTACCCCACACACAAAACCATTCTGGCCTGGAGTTGTACGCTGTATGAAGAAATGTGTGTGCCCCATGCGACGTGCTGTGCAGAACATTTCCGGCTGTTGGGGTGACGCAAGGAGAGAGAGAGAGGGAGAGCAGGCGGCAGAGACTGTTGTCGATTGGGGCAAAGTGCCGTCGGCTTTGTTTGCATGCCGCTGGCCTAGAAATAACGTAGCCATGGTTATATATTTTTCTAAAATTTATATTGCTTTATTTGCACAGCAGGCGCATACATACATGCCGTCACACACACACACACACACATGGACACACATTCGCACGCAGCGTGTCGCTGGTGGCTGCAGCTGCTGCTGCTGTTGACATTTGCGCCACGTTTTGCATTTTGAAAATGCTCCGTTTTCAGCGGCATTTCGTGTGCGGAAACGGAAATGTGCTGCTAGCTGCTGGCGCGCACTTGAGCGGGCAACTCTTTACTTTAACCAGCCACCCCCGGCCGATCACCCGGTGGTGTTTGGGACCACCCACTCATTGACAGTTGTCAAATGTCGAAAGTCGTTTGGCTTCTGGCTGCCTCTTCTTCATCCGATTTGCACTCTAGCATTTGCAGATATTTTAATGTGCTGCCAGCTGCACATCCTAAGCCATATCCTTGAGACCCATTGACTTGGCACATTTGATTTTCTAACTGTCACTGCTTGTGCAACTGCTGCAGCTGCAGCTCATTGTCATGCAGCGTCTTTAGCGAATGTTGCAAATTTGACTGTGGCATGTGCCTCGCATTGCCAAGTTGCCTGAAACCTGTTAATGGCTTTTCCAAACACTAAAGGAAGAAGAGACGAAAAGAAACTAGTTCGAGCCAAGTCTGTTGCAATTTATAGAATTTGTTCGGCTAATAATTCGAATGCCCTTTAAGCCAGGCTAACACATTTTTGGTTTCATTTAACAGACATTTGCTTGATGTTCAGCATGTAGCAAATTATGTTGCTGCCCATCGGGCTACATACATATATGCACACACACACATACACTCACATGACAACATTTTGGGGCGTCCGTTTGGCTAGCCATGCCTTTGGCCTGCGTGTCGCCACAGGATATTTGATGCTAATGCCTCACGCTCTCTCTCCCAATGTCCTGCGCTCGGCTCTCCAAATGCTGAACTTGCACAAATCTTTATTGCTCTCAAACTAAAGCTTCAGCTTTAGCTTTTCCTGCCTTAAAGTTTTCGTTCTTTACTTATTTTTGTTGTTGTTGCTTTTATTAACTCGATGAAGTTTTGGCAGCAAATACACAACGGGCCACTTCCATGTATGCTCTGCCCGGCTTGAAGTACTTCACTTTGAGCAAGCAATTGGTCCTACAAATAACTAAAAGATACTTTTGAGTGCAAAAATTCCATGAAAATTGTTGCGACAGCACATTTCAAATCGCCCGAGTCGTCTCAGCTGCTCATACTCCATTTTCCATTGGTCACATCTTTCATTTTCCTTGTGTGCCATGCTTTTAATTAGAGTTCAATCGAGATGCGACTACTCCCACACGACCTGAGCAGTTTCATTTCAGCTTTGGCTGAGCTGCTTTTCAATAAAAACAACTTTGCTTTGTTTTCTTGCTCTTTGTTGAGTATGTATTGTATTTTTGTTGTTTGTTTTTGCTTTTGCTTTTATTGTGTATAGATCAAACTTTTATTTTACAACTTATTTATTTGGTATCTGCAAACAATTAAGCTTACTTATTATTTCTTGTTGTTATTGTTGTTGTGCTGGCTGGCCCGGTCATCGCTTTCTGTCTTTCTCTCCAGTTCGCTGCTGCTGAGTGAAAAGTTCACGAAACTTGGAAGAAAATATAAACAATCGGCCAGGAAACATAGACAAACAGGACTCGCCTGCTTGTACCAATGCGATAAGAAAGTTTTTCAATAAATTTTGAAACAGAAAGTTCCTCAAAACTTGCCGTCCACAGTTAAGCTGATAAGCTGGCGCCAGCTCAACATACATATATATGTTAGTTATATATATAAACCCATGCTCCCGTCCAGCCATATCCAATGCTAATAAGGATTGCCAGCTGAAGGACATTCCTAGATGCTGCTGCTGCTTGTTTGCTGATGCCGCATTAGTTCAGATTTTGAGTTTTCAATAGATTTCCAATGGGACAGAGGTGGCCGGAAAGCAGGGCAAAAAACTGCCAGCTAGCGTAACGGTTAGCAATAAATAATAGAGCAAACTGCTTAAACCTTGCCTGAGCTGCATACGAAATGAGTCTGTGCTATCTGCCCGCCAGTGGCTAATACGTTTAAGATGAGACGACAACATGTGCAACGTTTGCCACCATCGACGTCGCTGACCCGGGGCATAAATCTTGTGCCACTCGAGCACCATTGCCATGGTGCTGCAACGGCTCCAGTTTGGACATTAAGCGCACGTCGCCAGTTGAATGGCCCGACTGGCTAGCTGGCTGCCTAGTTGACTGTCTCTGCTGCTGCTGCTGCTGACAATATTTAAGCTGCCTGCTCGCCGGCAGCAGCGGGGGGAACGACCAAGCGGAGAGCGCAGGAGAGGCAGCAGTTGGCGCGTGCTGTTTGCCCTGATGGTGGGTGTTGCCAGCGCCTGTTGCAATCGAAGCGCCATTGAGCAGGCGACAAAAAGGTCGATTATTGGGCAATTTGCACAGCTAGTGTCTGGCTAAGGACCTGGCATCCTGTTGTCCTCGGCTCAAGCGAGTATTATTACTGCACCACAAACCATTGAATTGCCAGTGGTGCCATATCAGAGTTATATAGATCTAATTAGCTATTTACTCGTAATGGAGTAGTGCATAGAATAGCTGACACGAATGTATAGCCCAACTCTTTAACCTGGCAGCTATCGAATATTGATCAGATATCAGCTTTGTCGCCTGACCCATCGAAATCTTTGAAAAACCATCTATTAAATTGTCGTTTGTACTGCATTGACTGTTCGAGGGGCAACTGTTTGCCAAGGGCCATAACGTTTTGTCCTTCCGTTCGTGCGCTTATCTTCATCGCTTCATCGTGACAGTGTGCCCATCGATATATGGGCTACTCAGACGCATGTCCTGTTCGAGCAACAACAGCAACTGCTTTGCCAATTGTCAGCAGGCAATGCCGCATGGGAGAGCGACGTAAACGTGGCTGGAGTTAGCGACTTGAAGTTATTTGCGGCAATCTCAGCCATTAAGTTCGACATGTGTTCGAGCAGTCGTTGCAACAGGCAGCAGACAAAGCTATTTGACACTTTCATCCATAACTCCATTGGCATCCTCTCATTCCTCTGTCTTTGATTGCAGAGCCTTGGCTTCCCACTGATTAGCTTGGCGGCCATCAACCGCACCACCGTTGAGTTGTTATACTTGCATGGCGATCCCTGTCCCACTGACAGGGCCACGAATCTATCCACGACGATACGCTTCAGGTGCAACATGCGGTCAGGACGAGTAAGTACGGAGGACAGGTGTCAACCTCACCTGTGGCCACTTTAAATGCTGCGCCGGCATCAACATTGTTTAACCCATTGCAGGGACAGCCGGTGCTGAGCTCCATTGATGACTGCAACTATCACTTTGACTGGGACACAAGCGTCATTTGTCCGCCGCATGAGTGTAGCTTTAGCCCGGACTCGTGTGAGATGGTGCAGGATGACCTGGGCAAGCGCTTCAACTTTAAGAACTCCTCTTTCATCAAGGATGGTAAGATTGCGGTGAGTTTCCATTTAATTGTCGCATTATTGTTCTGTCTTTTAATTGAATTCCATTTTGCTAGATCGACAACAAAAATAGCAAACTGGAGCTAAATGTGTGCGGAGAGCATCGCAAGGCCATGACGGACTACTCGCAGGATTTGGTAAACTTGTTCTTCACTCACGATCTGCCTGGATGCGGCAAGGAGGGTGAGTCTATCAATAAGCTAATTCGATTATCATTTTGTGTGTTTTCTTTTTGAAGAGTTGCTGCTTGTCGCTTGTCGTTTCCGCGTCTGTTTCCGTTTCCATTTCCACTTCCGCTTCCGTTTGTACTTCCGCTGGCGCAACACGCGCATTTCCGCACGCCATTTTGGTGGCCACCTTTTTTTCCTCGCAACTGTTGACTTTTGAGCTGTTTTTGGATAATGGCAAAATCGCATTAGAATTGGCGTTCAGCCCAATGCACTTCCGTTTTCCTTATCTCTCGACCCTCACGGCCCATAACCCTTCCTCTCTCACACACATACAATCTCGGCTACGTCAACATCTTTAATTTTTTTGTGCCCACTTTTGGGCGCCATTGCAGTGACTGCGACACTTTTTCGCGCTGCGCTTGTCGCCATTTTTTTATCCCCGGGGTTTTTTGTGTGTTATCTAACAGCATTTTACGTCCTGTCGGCAACAAAAACGTAAAGCACTTGAAATCATCAGGATAGGCGGAAAAAAACTAAAGAAAAAATAATGGCATTGTCGTGATAATGCGGTTAAATAATCTCCTTGCAAACAGGAGCCTTTGAATACCCTATAAGTAAAGCATGAGTAGCAGCGTTAAGGGGTATACTAAAACTAGTCTATAATACTTCATGATGAACATTAAAATGTACAGCCAATTACTCATTCGTCGATGTGATTTTGGAGAATCTTAATAATTTTTGCAGGGTATCTTTGAGTAGCGCGTTTTGTAGAACCTAATATTATTTTTATGTTTCTGCCGCTGCTGCATTCGAGTCATGAATATTTAAAAGGCCACACACAAAACATTTGCGACTTTTGTGGAGTGTTTCGTACATGGCCATGATTTTTATTGGCAAAAGCGTGTGAAACTTAAAAAAAAAAAAAAGAAAAAAACATGTGACTTTGCCATTGAATAAAACTTTTTGTTTGCTATGTCAATGGGCAATAAAACTGACAATTTAATTATGACAACGTTCTCGTAGTCATTAAAAACTCTTTTTGTCGTCCTATTTTCGGGTCTGTGGCTGGCAATCTGCAAGCGATCAGGCAACTCGAATACACCCACTGACATGTAAAATACGAATGTAAGGACTGAGGGCTGGGCCGGAGCTGTTCGACTGTGCGGCTAAGCCTAAATCCCACAATAGTGCGCCTCCCTTCGTGCTAGCTGTTGGAGTGCAGATTTTTGCCAACATACATACATATATACACAAGCACACGCACACACTCACACATTCACACGCACCCACACCGACAGGGAATGCTGTGCATTTGAACGACAACAGCAACAACAGCAGCAACAGCAACGACAAAGGCAAGCCCTCGGAGCCCCTGCGCCACCTCGTCTCCCTTGCCACTCATATCATGCGGCTTTTGTTGTCGTCTCCAGTGATAATTATTTTTGGCTTTTATGTGATAACTTTGCAGCAGAGGAAGGCCCCAAAACCATGGAGCCCGTAGTTTTGGTCGTATGGCCAGGCATTTGGAATATGATAAGGATTCATTTAAGCAATGTTGCTGCTGTTGCCCTCGTTCAGCTATGCCCCAGTTGCGTTGTTCTATGCTCTGTGTTCTGTTGTTTGTCGGTCAATTAAAATAAAATGCCGCTTTGTTTTGAGTACGGCTTTCTCTGGTTTTCATCACTTTTTATTAGGGTCAATTATGTGGCTTGGCTTGCTCTGTTTTCTATTATTATTGTATTGTTTTTTTTTTTTTCTTTTGCTTTGCTCTTGGTATGAAGCTTCATTTCAACTAATTAAAACCGTATACTCTCTGCTCTATTTTTATGGCAGGCAAGATGAATGTTCACATGCGTGTGATATGCAGCAACAAGACTGAGAGCTCCTTCATCGTAACAAATGTGAGTATCAAATTTGTTTAGTAATTAAATCAAACCTAGGCTAAATTTAAAAGTAGCTTTAAAACCGTGTTCTCAGCTTCCTTCTGCTGAATGTTGAGTAATATTAATTTAGCTATGACCTGGTTGACTTTTAAATTTGAAATGGCATCATTTTTCAAATTGTTTTCAGCTCCAGTGAATATTTGTTTAATATTTCTTTTATATTTGGTTTTCTTTTTTTTTTTTTTACTCGATTGCGGACATGAAATGCCCAAATGCTTAAGTTGAAAAATATCATGCTAAATACTTTGCAAATTCCAAGACAAGTGGATAAGAGCGGCAAGAATCGTTGTTGCGAAAAGCGTAGCATACATCTTTGCGCATAGGGAGAAGCACATTAAATTGACATGGGAGACGCAACAAGGCGAAAACCTCGAAGTGGATTTAGCATACATTTTGACATGTACTTGTGTGTGTGTGTGTGTGTGTGTGTATGTATGCAGTCCATGTCCTGCTGCCATCTGCGGCAGTTTCTTGGGCAAAGTCTGCCCAGGAGCTGCTGCGCGGCTGCTTCAAAGTAAAAATGTATAAGAAATATGCAGAAAAGGCCGCACAGCGTAGCACAACTGGGCGCAAAACAATGTGGCAGGTGTCCTTTGTTATGCTTACCATTTGGCAAATCCGCTTTGCCAGCTAGCCAGCTTTGTTGTTGCTGTTGTTACTGTTTTTCAACAAAAATGTTGCCTACCAACCTGTGCGGCTTTTGGTTTTGCCAGCTACTGCTGTTCCTTGCTTGGGTGTCTGTTGCCTTTGGTTGTTGTTGTTGCTGTAGCGGCTGTTACTGCTGCTGATGTTGGCGCTCCTTTTAGCCCGCGAGGCGTGCTATTGTTTTGACCTGAGCCTTTGTTGTCTTGAACAATCACAGCTAAAAAATGCACGTGCCTGACTCGCTAAAGCTACAACATGTTGTTGCCCCCTTTCATGGGGTCTCGGCCTTTGCCATTGATCGTCCTAAGAGCCAGCGGTTTTTTTTTTTTGTAGCTAGAGTCTTTCTCTCAGTGTCATTGTTTGTTAGTTAGTTGTTTTGGCTTTTGATTACGCCTTTGTGTGACGCTGACTGGCGCTGACCCCGTGTTCTTTGCTGTTGCTTTTTGTTTATCAAAATGCTGTCATAGCTGCAGCTGTTGCATTAGCATAGAGGAAATTTAATTCCTGTGTGCAGACGCGAACTTGGCCTAGAGTTTATTGTTTATGCTGATGTTGAAAGGCTATAATAAAATATTTGAAATTCGCCACTTCACTTTTAAGACTAGCTCAATGGAATATTCAATATGCTTTTATTGCAATATGTGCAGATTAATTAATTTTTGTCAGCATTGCGCATTGTCGTTTTGTGTTGTTCGTTCAATTTCTAAATTGATTTTGTGTTCTGTTTCCATTACCTAGATGGGACATACGTATATAAAGGGATGACCGCATGTCACGGCGAAATTGTCAATTTGCAGCACCTCGTAATTAGTGGTCTGACCGGCGCTGGCAACTTTATTAGCCTGTTTCGGGGAGCTGCCGAAAATGCAGCAATTAGTGCCTGAGGTTGAATAAAACACACGCATACTCGCACACACACGCTCGTACACATACCAACAGCAACACACACACACACACACACACACACACACATGTATATAACTGTTGTAGTCCATTACGCACAAATTGCGAAAGGATACGCCGTTAGCAATTGAAAATATTTGCCTGACCATTTTGCGATAGTCTCTTTCACTCTCTCTGTGTGTGAGTGTGTGAGTGTGCGTGTGTGTGTCTGTGTGTGTGGTGAGTGCTGGGTTATTTTTATTGTGTTTGTTTCTGTTTACTCGGGCCCTCTCTATGGCGTATGTTGCTAGTTGCAACAGTCGTATGTGGCACAAACCAATTGACCCAAATTTAAACCAGTTCTCAAATAGCTGCAAGCTGCTTGCACCAAGCACGCTGTCGCATGGGGCTGAGCTGTGGATCTAAAACTGGGTCCTGCCATCGGGATATGGATTGGTAATGGTAATCACACAAGCACACACACGCACGCACACACACACCACCTGCTGGCAAGTTGGGTGTGTTTGCCTGATTGCGGTTAATTGCATTACACACTTGATGGAGGTGTTATTAATTTCATTTCTTTGCCAAGTGCACGTAATGACATTTCGGCTCGCTTCGTCGGCTCCGTCTGTCCGTCTGTCCTCTGTTTGACATACGTTTCATGCTCAATTAGCTGTGCGCAAACAGGTTTCAACTGCTTATTAATTTGCATTTTACAATTAAGCAAAAATAAACGGTTTGTGTTCGTGTTAGATCATATGGATGCGACTCTGTTCCTTAACAAATTGAATTTCAGAACACTGTTTAACCTATTGGAAATGCATGGCTCGTTAGTTTGCAGAGTTAACTGTAATTACTGAGCTACAATTGATCAAGTTAGCCTCTTAATTGGCCATGTAAGGTAAAACTTTGTGTCCAAGCTAGAGAGGGTCAGTTGACCTATATGGTTTTGCTGAGAACATTTGTATAGTTGTGTTTATTAAATTTAATTGAAATATTTAATAGAAACATGTCCGACATATTGCACAGTTAATGAATTCACTTTTACTATAAAATTAAATGAATCCGACTTGTCACAAGCGTCGCTTAATGCTGATTTGTAAACTGAACAGAAAACCTTTCGTCTCCACTGCGGTTATTTGTTTAACTTTCAGCTGTAATGCGCGCCCGCATGCAGACAAGTTCCATGCAGTTGCAGCGAGCGGTAAACAACATCAAACGCAGGCAGACGCACACATACATGCAGCACTCAGTTATTTTGTTGTTGTTGTTATTGTCCTTCGTTTTGGGCAGATGGCAAGCGCAAGCGGAACAAAAGGCAACAGTGGACTTGTCTGGCGAATGTTGTCGAAAAATTAGCGATTCAATGAAATGGGATTTTAAATGGCTGCAAACTTTTTAATGCGTCTACCGGCGTCCTGCGCGTCGTCCTGCGCTTCGTCGTCGTCCTCGACATGTTTTAGTTTTTGTGTCTGGGGCGGCGCCACGGCCGGGTGCGCGACCCAGGACGCCGGCAAAGTTGTGCAACGCGAGTTTTTGCCACTTGCAGTTGCCAGTTGCAGCCGCCGCAAAAGTTTTTAAATTATGCGCACATTTGCCGTGCCTCGTTGCTGTTGCCTTTGCTCCTCCTGCTACTGCTGCTGCTGTTGCTGCTGCTGCTTCTGTTTCTGTTGCCATGTACTGGCTCTTGTTGCTGCTCGTCGGACGCGCCGGAAATGGTCTTTGGCCGAAAGTGTTACACGCAGCGTGCAGCCGGACGGATGGCGTGCGACAACGTCCCTGAAGTTGGAGCTGGGAATGGGAATGGGCATGGGCATGGAATGGAAGCTTGGGCAAAACTCTGCGTTGCGGTTGGGGCTGTGCAAACAAGTTGCCAGCAGTTGTTGCGCCACAATTTGCAGCGCTCTTTGTGAGCGGCAAAGGGTCGAGCGCAGACCGATGCACAACGAGCAATTGCTTTTCTGTTGGAATTTATGTATTTTTCCCATATCAATTTAGTTATTTATTATTTTTCTTTGCACTTAATGAAGAAAGTTTCTAATTACAAAAATCTTGTTTGTAGGACACGCAGTGCAGCTTGCTCTATGTGCAGCGCACACCGAGCATCTGTTCGTTCCTGAGCCTCAGCGTGCCACCACAGGATGAGAGTGGCAGCAGCAGCAGCAGCAGTAGCAGCAGCAGCAGTACTACTAGTACAACAACAAGCACCCCCAGCAGCACGCATGCAACGCCAATGGGTAAGAATGAAGAGGCAGCAACCACTGCAACATCCACCGTAAAGGCAGCTATTGCTAGCCCCTCGGCCTCTGTGGGCAGTAAGTGCAGCTAGCCAAGCTTCTTTGGCAGCATCACTCATAGCCATGCGTATTTACAGCCATACTGGGCCTTATTCTGTCTGTGACGTTCTTTGTGGCATGCATTGGAATGTTTGCCATTTCGCCGGCTCGAAGGCAACGCGTGCGTCGACTGTTCCGTCGCAACAACTCGTCGGTGCGATATTCCACGGTAAGATATTAAGCGTGTAACAAGTTGTTTCATTTCTGTACTATCAATGATTCCCATTGAAGGTGCAGTCAAACGAGGAAGCTAATCTGCTGCTGGAACCCAATGGCGAGTTCACTGAGAGCGACGACGATATGTTACTTTAGAAGGCTAAGCCGAGGGAAAAGGCTGTGCTGATTGCTATAAACATTTAACCAAGTGAGAAAAAATTTAGAAAAAATATTTAGTGAAAAAAAAGACATGAGAAGAAAGTTCAACACCAAAGACATAAAACGCAACTGATTGTGAATTAAAAACTGATAGTAGACAAGTAACGAATCGCAGTGAGGAAAGCTATTCATATACTTAATTATGTACAATACGTCTAAATGACAACGACAAAACAACAAATCCAGTTAACGGATTAATGTCTAAATGATCTTATATATTTTATATACCTGCACTTAAAATATGTAAAGGCAAATTCCCTGCAAAGTCCTTTAGCGCTATCCTTATATACCACATAGTTTAATGTATTTAATTGCTTTGTGACTCGTAAAGTATTTTTCCAAGCATTATTATTTTTAATTATGGATCATCTAAATCCTAACCAAACGATCTTAAAATTTTTGTAAATTTTTAAAATTTTTGGGTCAAGCATTAACAGAGTTTTCTGTTTTCATTTTTGTTTACTTTTTGTATTTTTTATCGTGTGATATAAGACTTGGCGGAATGTACTTAATGTTATTATTCAAAATATTTTTGTTTTTTAAGTTAATTGTGTAAATTCCTCAATTTATAAATAACAATGTAACTATATCTATATATGCTCTGTATAAAATGAATTTGAAAAATATAAGCAAATTAAATACAATTAAAACTTTTTTTTTATATTCTTTAAAGTAAACTTTTAATTCCAGCTCGAAATATTCATTAAAAAAAAGTGGCAAAGATTTCTTTAGGGTACCAAACCAAAACCAGACAAAAACTAAAGGTAAGAAAATATCCGCCCCATTTGTAATATTAATAAAATGCATTGTTTAATTTTTAAAATATATTTTATTCAGTGTATTTGTATACTTGACAGACTCGGGTACACAAATACATTAAATGATGTACATAATATGTATGCATTCATTTTGTATAAGTAAATGAGTTTGTCTGCATTAAATTTGTAGGTACCTTAGGCAATACAGAGACATGACATAGCTACTTATATGTTATTTTTCATTAATTCTAATTACAATATATTTAACATACGATTAATGCGTTTTATGAACTCCTTACTAATTATGTCATTGAAATGCGGAAATGAAGAAATATGTATATGGGTCGATTGGATAAAGTGATGTACGATGTATGTATGATCTAAATGTTTGATATGCCGTGTATGAAGGGCATTTGCGAGTAAATAGCGTAATGAATAATGAATATATTTTATACGTATTTATATATATATATTTTGAGTGAGAGTTTTCGTGGAAAATAAAAACTTTTCCATATGCTTTATGTACAATCTTAATTTGTTTTTGTGTGCTTTCAATGAACAACTCAGTTAGATATGTAAGCAGCCAAAGGGGGACAATGGAAATATATTTATATATGTGTATATATTATCAGTTTGTTGCTGTTGTGGTTGTTGTTGTGGTATTTTGATTTGTATTTAGTTTTTGGCTAATCTTTGTGGTTTTTTTATAAATTACATTCAGTACACGGCATAGTTTATATGCTACTATTTGGATACGTCATATGTATGTATGTGCATTAATCGATAGCTTATTACAAATTATTCAGATTGTACAGGGAACTAAAGCTCAGTTTGATCAAATATTAAGTAAAACTTGAGATTCGTGCAAACAAAGTAATTGCCTTAATCTGCAAAATAAAAATTCAATTATTTCGATTGCGAGTTCTCTGCAACTTTTACATGCGCTCAACTTAGGCATAACATTTACAATATCATAGCTATATAATGTACAAAATAATTGGGTCTTAGTGAGTTTAACTTACACTTACATAACTCTAAACAGAATGATAAGCTCTCGAATAGCTTACGCTTTTTCAACTATCCAAAATGTAATTTTGTTTTCCATCTTTTCATTTTTGCGAAATTTTTCCATTTCTTTTTTGTTTATGTCAACAAAGGCCACAGGAAGTATTGAAAATTGAAAATTTTCACCAATTTTGTGCATTGGATTTACCAGCAGCAGATGCAATGTTTTCTCTTTTGTTTTTGTTTTTTAGATTTTTTGTTTTTTGTTTTTTCGTTTTTGTAAAATTACTCTACAGAATTTAACTAGACCAAAACACAGACACAGATGCAAACACACACCCACACACACACGCACATGCATACACTCACACACACTCAGAGACATACACATGCCTAGAGAAATCAATTTGAGTGCAATTTCAGTTGGCTACAAGAATGCTGTTATCTAGGCATTTGGTTTTGTCATTTATACATTCAGCTGATCGGAATCGGAATTGGTCATAGCGTAAGGATTGAATGCCTCAGTGAAACAGGAGCTCCTCCTCGTCGGGCTCCACATTGCGCCATTTCTATACGTCGCTCTGCTTGGCATTTGTGTTGATGATGAAGGCGCCATTGATGTGGCCGTTGCCATGGTGTGCCTTACCGTTCGGCGCATACAAATTCGTCAGGCCATTCTTGCCGTTGGCAATCATGATGGCTGTGTGGGGGGTACCGCCATTCAGTTGTGCGACCAGCGGATTTTTGGTCGTGTCGCCGGGCGGCGTAGTCAGGGGCGGCGTCACGGGCGATGGCTTAATCAGCTCGAGCTTATCATCTGTGGAGCCTTTGAGCGCCGACTTGATCAGGGCGCCGTTGCCCGCATTGCCAATGGGTGCACGATGCGGCAGGGCGTAGCGCAGCTTATCCCAGAACCATGGATCGCCCCACTTCAGGTAGGTGTTCATTCTCAGATACGCCTTCATTTCATCGTCCAGCTGCTCAATGTCGCCAATGTCCGAGTAGATGATCACAATCACACGGGAGCGTCCCTCGTTCAGCGCCGCTCGATGGGCCGCCCGGAACTCCATGCGTGCCCAGTCCGACTTGATGAAATTCGGGCTGAGCACGATGATGGTACGACGGGAGTCTGCGACGGAGCGCACAATATTCTCGGGTATGAAGCCACCCACCAGCCAGTCGCGTACGTGCACGCAGAGCGTAAACTTTTGTGGACCGTGCTCCAGTTGCGGCACCAGATGCTTCTCCACGAAGCTCTGATCCTTGTGCGAATACGAAATGAACGCATCGAATTTCTTGTCCTTGTCCAGTTCCTCTTCGGTTACGAACCACATGCACAGATTGTGGGCGTACAGCCAGATCTTGATCTCCTGCTGGTACTTGTAGTAGAGCGCAGCGGTGATGCCAATCAGAAAACCAGCCAGCGAGATGACCACAATCACCGCAATGAACAGACTCCTGGGCCGTGGGCAGATATCATTGATGTTCAGCTCCATAAGGGGCGTGGGCATCTCCGCATCGACGCAGTACATCTCGGTGTAGTCTGGGATGCGCTCGTATTTCTTTTGCGTGAAGAGCAACAGTTCCCTGGCCTCGCAGTTGCACACCCACGGATTCTGGGAGAGACGCAGCGTCATGTTGTCCATCGTGCTGTTGAGATAGCCGAGCAGCGTTGAGTTGAGCACCTGCAGCTGATTGCGACGCACATCCAAGTACTTCAGGTTTCTGGGCAACTGGTTCAGCTCCAACTGGGTGAGGTTATTGCCTGCCACGTGCAGGCTGGTCACATTCTCGTACCCGGGCGATGTGTTGCTCGGCAGCTTGAGCAAGGTGTTGTTTTCCACATACAGCTCCATCTCGCGCAGATTCTGGGGCAGGCGTGGCAGCTTGGGTACTTTGGTCAGCTCGCCATTGGAGCAGTTGATGATTAGCGTCGCGTCGAAGGTGCGCACCAGGCAATCGCAGCCGCGAGGGCAACGTCTCTCGGCCGGATCCTCAGCGAGGTCGAATTTGCAGACCAGTTCACGGGGATGCACGGAGCGCATGGGACGATCGGCCAAGGCGCTTGGCGCCTGGCAGTTCAATCGGTCGGTGAACGTGACCAAGTTCTTTGCATAGTCCGGCTGAATGTCGCCGCGCACCACCTGCAGGAAGCGCAGGAGTGTGCAGTCACAGACGAGCGGATTATCGTTGAGATCCACGCGCACCGACTTTACCCCATGCACCAGCCGCTGGCCCTGGTCGATGGGCGGGAAGTCTGCCTGCCTGTAGAAGTGCACGGTGATTATCTTATTGTGGGTCATATTGATAGTCAGATCGAAAGCGGACACAAAGTCTAGATCGGAGTAGTCCAGCCAGGTGAAGTTGTTATAGCTCAAGTCGATCTCCTGCAACTCGCGCATCGCATACTTCCAGTCGCTAAATATGACCATGAGCGAATTGTTGCGCAGATTGAGGGTCGTCAGATTCCTAAGATGTGCGAATGGGGAACTCAGCTCCGCGTCCACTCCGCGCACCGACATATACTCATGGAAATTGATGCGATTGTTGGCCATGTTCAGTTGACGCAGCAGCACGTTCGAAGCGAAAGCCTGCGGCTGTATGCTCACAAGATGATTATCGTTCATGCGGAGGGTTTTGAGATTCACCAGCTTGCTGAAGAGCTTACTGTAAGGGCGAGAGAGCGAAAGAAAGGCAATGAGAATAGGGTTTCGCCAAGAGCAGTGAGAGTAAAGCTCAGTCTGGAGGATTCATTGAGACAATTAAAGTACTTTAGTTTACCTGGAGATTTCAGTGAGTCGATTTTCGGCCAGATTCAAGTTCTCCAACTTGGACAAGTGGCTGAAGATGCCGTCGGGCAGGTGGCTCAAGCGATTCTTGTGCAGATCCAGTGTCACCAGATTCACCTGATGCTCCAGCAGCTTGGCGGGCAGCGTGCTCAGATGATTGTCCATGAGAGAAATGTCTGTGATGTTCATCGAGTTCTCAATGAGATCTTCTGGGATGGATTCCAGTTCACAGCGCAGATAAAGGATGCGCAGCCTGGGCAGATCAGCAAAGAGGCGGGCCGGGAGCGTGGGCAGCGGTACACGATTGTTTTGCAGCTTCACCTGCTCCAGCTGCTTGTTGTGCTCGAAGAGGCCCGCGGGCAGCGAGCGGAAGTTGTTGCCATTCAAATTGATCTCCGTCACATTGGTGAGCAGCTCAAAGACATCCGGTCGCAGCTCAACAATGCCATTGTTATGCAGATCCACATCCCTCACAGAGACGGCGCCCTCAAAGTCGTGCTTGCTCAGGTTGTGCAGCTGATTGCTCCACAGGTTCAGGTGCAACAGCTTGTGCAGATTGTGGAAGAGCCCGCGCGGCAGCTGCCGCAGATTGTTGCTGCCCAGCTCGAGGAACTGCAAGTTCTCCATGTTGGCCAGCAGCTTTGCTGGCAGCTCACCCAGGTTGGCGGCACGCATGTCCAGCCAGCTCAGATGGTGCATATCATGCAGCAAGTCCTCGGGAATGTAGGGCAAGCGGCGCGCGGCGAAACGCAGCCGCTGCAGATTCTGCAGACGATCCAGGTGCTTACGGGTCACATTCATGCCCAAGTCGTTGCCCTCAAAGATCAGCACTTTGGTATTGTTGATGCCCAGGTGATCCATGATGCCCGCTATGGGCGTGTGATAGGGCAGCGGGCAGCGCCTGATCTGCACCATATCGATGCTGCCGATGTTCAGCCGCGGCATCTGCTTGTACTCCGAGGCATCCGTCAGGTTGCATTCGATCTGGACCGTGTAGCCGGGACGGATGGTAATCTTGAATTTGGGATTGTAGCTGTTGCCGGGACAGTTGAGCTCATACTCCGACAAGGATGGTGCGCACTCGCACGACGATATGGTCAGATCGCGGCAATCATCGCGCCCAAACACGGCCACGCCCAGCTGCCAGTTGAGCGCCTGAAGAAACACCACCAGCAGCAACGGCGGCGCTGCTGCGCTTACGGCTCGCATTCTGTTTGTATTTGTGTGTCTAGTCTCCTTTGCACGCTAAAATGAAAAATCCAAATATTTTCTATTATAGACATTTTATTTATTATTTTTGCATTATTATTTATATTTTGCTCTATATATTATTTTTTTATTAAATAAAAAAAAATCGAATCTAATTTTATGGCTTTATTTTCTTTTCCTTTCCTTTCTATTATTCATTTTCTTTAGAATATTCTTGGCGTAAGCCCATTTGATTGCCTACACGTAAAGCTCTGATTTATTTCTTTTCTATCGCCAATGTGTTTCCATGCAACGGTTTATTCTTTGCCTCAACATATTTTTGTGTTGAAAATGAAATTGTAATGCTATCATTTGTATATAGAAAACAACGGTGAGCCATTTTTACGTATTTTCCGTGTGTGACGCGAGTAGAGCCTTTAATTTAAGTGCGGAATCTGATGGATAGGAAGACAGGTGCGCCAGTTGTAAGTGACAAATACAGCAACAGCTGGCAGGAAAAATGAATATACAAAGGAATATTGCTTTTGTCCTTCACAAAGGAGGGATTCAATGTGGCGGTCAAAGAGATTCATACGATGCTGGGGTGGCCAGCAGCAGAAGCTCTATTCATCCTTTATGGCTCCCCTCCTCTGGTCGACCTCGTCAGATACACTGTTGCATTATATGTCGCACAGAGCAGGTTGCCAAAAGCCTTGCATCCTGTGGAAGGCGGGATGAATGTCAGCATCCCCTGCACGGGTGCCACGAGCCCAGCTTGGCATCTCTGTGGCCGTAATTACGGTCAGGTAGTGTATAAAATGTTGTAAAATTTGCCGCTCTTTATTTCTTTTGGATCCGAAATTGTGGGGGCGACGTGCACTTTACGGGCTTTGTGCGTTTAATGAATTTGTCATGCAGTCGAGTGCCGTTAAAGCTTGAAACGAATTTGAGGCATCCGAAAGACTCGGCCCAGCTGACAATTAAATTGTGCCCATTAGTCAGATTTTTGAAATGGAATTCAATTAAAACTTTGTGCCGGCCCTTTTGAGCAGCTCGCAGTTAGCAGCAGTTCGCAGTTAGCTGCATTTCCAGGATTTCCAGCCGACGCTTTCGGGGCTGATGGCATAATTTCGTTGCCTCTGACAGCTGCTCTTGAATGAAATTTTGATAAGCCAATTAAATTATGCGCCCTGTAATTGAATTCTCATTTTGCTGTTGACTTTTTGCAGGCAGTCTGTCCCATTCCCATCCCCGTACCCATCCCAGTCCCCATCCTCAGGCGATCAATTTACCGGCCATTTGCTTTTAATTAGCCTACAACAATGATGAAATTTTCCCTGGCGCCTCTGGCAGTGTAAATAATTGTAATTACAGTTATTGAGTTTTCCGTTTTCAGCTGCATTTTCCACGCTTTTCGATTTTCGTAAATGAAATTGAATATTTTCAACAACAGTTAAATTTCAAAGTCCATGCGAAACTTCTTATCACTTAAGCTAATGATTTTATTTATTTATCTATTTATTTATTCCCATCTTTTTTTTATTTTTTTGTAAGCTGAGCACTTTTAATGCTTTTAGCCAATTATTTATTCGCCCAAGTACTATTGCTGGTCGTGCTGGCTTAACAGTGTTAATCGGATGAGGCTGGTCTTAGCCACTATTTATCGGCCGGCGGTGCGACTTCTCTACAATGCGGCTAAGCCATGAGACAGAAGCGTTAACACGATTCGTGTGCATTGTGTTCGCCCGATTGCAATGGCCAAGCATCGTCTGCCACAATCCATTTAAATCCCAGCACCTGATTTCAGCATTCGCCTGGGTCGCAGATTATGCTGATGTACATAGATAGATACGTATTTATGCCAGGAGCTAGATAAGCGGCTTTTGTTCCCAACTATTTGTGTAGCCAACTTCAATTTCGCATAAAACTTTAAGCACTTTCTGCCCGCTGGCGGCCAACTTAACTGAGTCTAAATAGCATCTTCTGCTACAGCTCACCTAACACCACCCACCAACCACCACCCACCACCCACCGCCCAACGCCAAGCCACCAAAGTTGGCCCTGTTTTGGCTTTTAAATTCGGCCTGGCTTATCTAAACAGGCAAAGCTGGCCACACCGCGCGGCCAGTTGGTTTTTCGGTTATTGTTGCCAAGATCTTAAACATTTATATTCACTTAGGAAAATTACTTTTAACTTTTGTGCCATGCTGCCCGTGTAAGGATACAGCTAACAATGTCCCGAGCGGCCTGCTGCTTTACATTGATGGGCTTTAGCGTTTGTTTTGCTGCAATCTAATCTTGGCGAAAATCTTGTTGACAAGTTTTCTGAGAATGCTCAGCCGATTGGCAGCTAGGTGAGCCAGCTCAAATAAGTTTTCTAAGAGCGGAACGCCAACAACAACAACAACAATATAATATTTAATGGCGCCTGAGCTAAGCAATTTCTGTGTGTGTGTGTGCAAGTGTCTCCCCTACTATGTATAGGAAATGAAAGCCGACTTTCAGGCTGCCAATTAAGTCGGCCTCGTTTACAGTCTGCAACGGTAGCCTGCCCCATCGGCACCTCATTTGATCCTGGCTGGCAATTAAAAATAATTGTTAATTTTAAACGTTCTACCACACACACGACACACACACACACCTACAGAGAATTATAAAGTCATATGGGCGTATGGGTTGTTTTCTTCCTTCTGCTCACATTTGTCCGTTTTAATTAGACGCTTCCCCTGCAGCCCCCGGTCGCTACCCCATTCGCAGTTCGAGCCGTTAATAAAGGTTAACGAAGTTTTGCCAACGCGCAGATTTCTCACACATTTCTACAAACAGCCACATGTCTACATACGCACACACACACACACACACATACTCATACTCATACTCTCACACATTTACCCATGTTGAGATTCCAGCTAGAGTGCGCATTTTTGCACTCACGTGCTCTTTTCCGGTATGTAACGGTACTAAATTCATTAGGCACACTAAATTACAACCGCAGCGAATGATAAGGGGGGTGGAGTGGAGCTCGCAGGGACAGAGTTAGTCAGAGTCAGAGTTGAGTTGAGTGGAGCAGAGTTGAGGCGTGGCGGGGCAAGGTGTCGTGCCAGGTGATGCCAGGCCTTCTACAGACTTGGATTTTTACTGCCGACGCTCGACAAAGCGCTTCAATGTATGTGGCTACATATGCAGGTGTGGGTGAGTTTGCGCGTGTGTGTGTGTGTGTCTAAGTCTTTCTCTTTGTGTGTGTGTGTGTGTGGCTGCTATTAAATAGTCACGCCGCCCGCAGCGCGCTTTGGAAAATTGGCTTTCGCATGCCTGCGGTGCGCTTTATTACTGCAAGCGAAATTATCAACAAGAACAATAAGTGAGAAAGTGTTGGCCTTGTCTATGCTCGACTACCACATACCATAGAAAGTGAGATGGACACAAATATTATTAACCTGTCTCTTTTGTTCTCATTTAATGATGCGAATACTATGCTCTATTACGACATTCTTAATCGGCTATATAAACAAAATCATTCCTTTCAATCTAGCACTATACTTTGTATTTTCTTTGAGTTTTAATGACTACAGGGTATAGGAGAAACAATTTCGGGCATGCGATTTAATGCTTGAATTTCTTAATGCCTGACAGTTGGATTAAGGCAAAGTGTTTTAATGCCTTCGCCTCTTAATGACGTTGACATTTCCATTTCTGTGCGCTCGCGCGCTTCACTGAATTTTCCAATTTTCCAATTTCTTGTCATGTTTTGCACCCACTGTTTCCCCCCCCTCTACCACCATCGTCCCGTCACACGATGCTGCTTCTTCTTTGCCCGAATAAGTATGCTACAGAAATTGTGAGGCGCCTGACGCAAACGCATTCATCAATCAACTTGACTAATTACCGCAATTGTTGGCGAGCACAACGCAGCAACTGTGCAGCTGGTTGGTGAGTTGTTGCCACGCCCACACAGAAACAGACATAAATACACACACACACACACACACACAGACCGTCGTCATGCTGCCTGAATATGGTAAGAAACAATATCAACTACAACTTGTTTAATAATTTCATATTAAAAAATTTCGAGCAGCAAAACCTATAAAACACTTTTACAAGTTAGCACACACATACCCATATACACACATGTGTATGTGACGCTCTCCCGCATCCGATTCCCGTTGCCCTTTTTGGTGGCAAGTTTCCAGTTGCTGGCTAACTGCACGTCGTTCAGTTGTGGTCTCGTATCTTATAGTAGTAGTTGGCATAGTCAATGCTTCAGTGGTGTACATGTGTGTGTGTGTGTGTGTGTGTGCGGGTGTGTGCCTAGCCAAAAGATTTCAATACTTGCAAACTTTCGGAAGTTGTGAGCCAATGTTTATGGTGCCCAACGTGGTTTACAACGTTTCCCCAGCAAACACATACCCAAAACTGTGTATACAGAAGTGCCAAACTGGCAGCTGGGACATGTTTACATATACACCCATATATACACACATACACACATACAGATGCTCAGTGGACGAGGTTGCAGCTGAGGGATTGAGGCGTGGTGGTTGCACGTTTCAAAAGCATAAGTACTCGTACGTACATTTTCGAATAGCTTGCTGAAGCGCTGAGCAAATAGCCGTGTTGCTTATTGCGTTTGGGTGGCACGCGTTGATGCAACTTTCGATATTGGCAAATATTCGAACGATTGATTCGCCCAGCTGGCAGCAAGCGGGACTCAGAGAAAGGGACACACACATGTTGGAGCTTATATTGCAAAGGGCGTTTTATACACACACAAACAACTGAATAAGTCTATAAGTCTGAAGGTTTTAAATGCTGGCTGTTAAGTAAAACTCTAAAAACTTTGCAGGCCTGGCTGGAGTGTGAAATTGAGAGATAGGTGTAAATAAAAATAAATGTAAACAGCATGATAAGTTGGAATGGTAAATCAATGAAGAGAACCATAAATTATTATCATTTAATTTTTAGCTATTTGTTTACTATATCAAGAATTGCCAATCAAAGAAATATACATTAAATAAATTCTACGCAAATATTTCCCTGTATTCAATGCTCAAATT